AACACCCTCCCTCCCTCTCTCCTAGCCTCTCTCTTACTCTCTCTTCCCCTCTCTCTCCAAAACAGCTGCAGGAAGCTTCTCTTGTTCTTTGTGCTCCACCACTTGTTGAATATCGTCTATTTCTGTTCCTCTCACTCGCCTCACCTCACTCGGAGAAGTTTTAATGAAGTGAGCCATATTGTTGGTTTGGTTATGTGTGCGTGGATGTCTAGGTGACTCAGACAATAGCTGACTCACCCAGCCAGAGACTGTTTGTGTGTGTGTGTGTGTGTGTGTGTGTGTGTGTGTGTGTGTGTGTGTGTGTGTGTGTGTGTGTGTGTGTGTGTGTGTGTGTGTGTGTGTGTGTGTGTGTGTGTGTGTGTGTGTGTGTGTGTGTGTGTGTGTGTGTGTGTGTGTGTGTGTGTGTAAAATTAACTATGTTATACAATTTTACAAACAAGCTCAAAGCAGCATGACCAGATAAGGAGAACTCCATCCCCCTGTGCTCGACTTCATACCCGCTCTTTCCTCTCCTTACGTTCCCCCGGGGTAGTTTGGTAAGGCCTGCCTCCGCAGCTGGAGGATACATCCGGTGTGTGTGTTAAATGCAGACATTCTTTGAAGTCAGAGACCCCTGAAGAATAATTGTTCACACTCCCAACTCCCGCTCTGACTTCATGCTAGGCTGAGCTTGTGCAACTTTGCCTTGCCAGAACATGTCAAGTACATAACTAGACAGCTGGTATCGTGGCAAAGTTTACGCCCAGCTACAACTTGCTCTTAGTAAACAGTAGTCCTGTGTTAGGTATACTATAATCAAATTTGAAATGATAAAAGACATGTCATGACAACATTGTGGGATCCTGTGATTAAAATGGTGATAACTAAAAGAGGCAGACAATGACAACAAGTTAAATTAGGTCACTGTTTAGTAATGTTTCATGATGCAGTGGCACAGTGTACATTCCTTAAAGCATAGTAACAATAATACTAGGAATTTGACATCAGCTTTCTTCTTCTGGAAAGTGTAAGAAGTTCCACCACAAGCTGTATATTAATTATATCATAGCCCTAAGCAAAATGCAAATATCGACTTGAAACTCTGTCTACAAAGGGTTCACTTTAAATTAAGGTTGTTTTGAATTTGTTTGGCTTGTGTAGTCAAGTACATGAACTTTGTTTATGCTGATGTGAATTAAATATTAGTTTAACTTTGGACCAACAAATTAAAGCATCTCATGAGAGATTGTTTTTGAAAAGGCATTCCTCAGGCTACCCACCCAACTACTGCGGCCAGAGTGATGTAAAATATAATTCAAGACCTGCATGTTTAAAATCATTGACTTTTGTTTAAAATTATTGATTATTTCCAAGCTTTTGACATACAGAAAAAACCTTTGTACAGCATCTATGAATACTGAATCAGAACTGAGTAAAAATGTATATGTTGTAGTGATCACATATAGCTGTTCAGTTAAGGTTATATCATCAAATGTATAGATAGTAGCATGCTTTATTAAGATCTGTGTTTATTGAGCAATTGACACATCTGCCTATCAGTCGTCTTGTCTTTTTTACCGTTAACATCGCGTATAATTTTTGTCATATTAGTGTTAATCTAAATCTAACTAAACCTTTCTGCAAGTATTATTTTGAAATGAATGTCTCCCGTTGTGTTTTTTGTGAACATCTGCAGTTCAGAATCAGAATACCTTTATTCATCCCACAGGGGAGATTTACATAGCTGCATTCTGTGGGACCTATTTAAATAAACATACATTTGTCTGGCTCAAAGATTATTTTTGATTTATACTATTAGAATATGCATAAGTAAACAACATAAGTCTCAGTAAGAGATGAGGAACATATTTAGCAAAGTGTAAATTGATGGGTTTGATAAACAACCTGCTGGAGTAACTGCAACTGTAATCCATTTAAAAATAGGCGTGTTCGGTTCACAGACGACGATTTGTAGGCTACTACTATTAAATGTATAGTCAACAAGTAGGTAAGTGAAAATAACTCTCCTTTAAAGTTACTGATATGTCAAGAAACATGTTGTAACGTTTGTTAAACTTGAACATTTCTCTTGTATTTTATATCCATTTAGTTTTTAGGAGATTTAGTAATTCTGCGTAACTTCATCTGTCTGTTGCAAACGTTTTATTTTGAAAGTATTATTCGGAAGTACTACTATATTGTGTTTTTTTTTACACATATCTCTTACACGGCTCTGGTTTGACATCACTAGAAAAGAGCAGTTATTTTAACCACTAGAGGCCATACATATTTCTGATTAAGTAGCTACTGGTAGACTGTAAATACACACAGGTTGCCTGCCTCAGACTCGCAACCTGTGGTGCAAAGCTTCCCTCCTATTTTTCCTCAATACAATGTCAATCATCGTGTATTAAAAATTTACAAGTATGTATTGTAAATGTTTTATTTTGAAAGTATAATTCGGAAGAACAACTGTGGTGTTGCATTTTACTAGAGAAAAAGTAAGTAGTAGAAGGCAGCTGCAGTGACTCACTGTGGCCACGAGAGGGCAGACATACACCTGATATAGTACTACAAGCAGGTTGCCTCGCTCCTTACATGTGCTTGAAGCTACTGTATAGGCCTACTCGTTTTTGAAACCTGCATACAGAGAAAATGTATTCAAGGCCTGTAGCATTTATCCTCCTTTGACTGAGATTTGGTTGTGACAATGTAAAAATGTGTGCGAGTTTTCATGTATTTAAACTTTTTAGTGTAACAGTGACGTAAATAAACACAATGTTATGCTTACAACACAGGAGGAAACACCTAGCCTATTTCAAGCTCATTTTATTTACACAAATATTGAGGTGGAGATACTTTCTCAAGGAATTTGGAATCTGCCACCTAAGAATATTATTAATAGTCACTGTTGGGACTTGTTTTTTAGTCAATGTTCTGCTCCAGACCAGTAGGTGGCGACAATGGTTTTATAAACTGGCCTCAAACTGCCAATATTTAAAAGACGTGTACACGGTGACGGTCGGCAGCAGCAGTCACTTGCTTTCTGCCTGCCTCGACTGTAACACCGACGCAACTGGTAAGATAAAAAATAACTAATCTAAAAATAATTTCACTTCAATAATAACATGCTTGAGTTATATAGTAGGTATTTAATAGTTAAGTATTGCATTGATGCAAATACAGCAATCCACCGACTTTTCCTGATCTGAGGATGAATAAGGGTTACTTAAATTTAACATCCACGCTAACGTAATTTACAACGTTAAAGTTGAGCAAATTATGTTTGATTAACGCTTATAAAACGGCAACACATTCTTGGAGGTTTTTGTGAAGGCTGTATAACAAAAAATACTTAGGTAATTTGAATGTGGACTTAAAATTGTGACATGTGGTTAACACTCAAAGCATGTGCCACTTACAACACTAACTCACCCATTTCTAGACCGTTACTGCAACTTCCATCTTTAAGCCGGAAAATCAGTAACCCAGTGGGCCTTTCTCCACGTGGTGAGCCTAGCAGCTAACATTAGCATGGTAGCTAACAGTCTGATGCAGTGTCTCCTCCCCTGATGACTTGCACTGGGCTCTGAGTCCGTATGAAGAGAAAAGTGCATCTTTGGCCCTGACAAGCCAGAGTTTCTGAGGAGAAAATCAGCTAATGTTGGTCTAATGTTATAGTCATGACAACACATTAAAACGTGCTTCTGTCCCTTCAGATAACTTTCAACACGTGGAACCTCTCCTTGACTGGACTTTACAGGTATGTCAAATATAATTGCTCAAGCTCTGCAAACTGTGGAGACAGACACTTTATCACATTGTTAATAAGACACCTTGTTCTGGATGATCATGGACTTTTTATGTGTTTTTTAAACAAACCATTCATACATTTCGTCACAATTTGTATCTGCTGAAGGTCAACGCTTCCTCTAATAGTCTGCTTCCACACCACGAAAAGACTAGGATTATACATTTGTTACTTTAATAACGGGTGTTTAGGAGGTTATTCTTGTGTATCGAGATGTACATACCATCTACTGCCAGGGTGGATTTGGCTGTCTTTCTCCCCTGATGACTTGCACTGGGCTCTTAGTCAGTATGAAGATAAAAGTGCATCTTTGGCCCTGACAAGCCAGAGTTTCTGAGGAGAAAATTAGTTCATCATGATCAAAAGTAGGAATTATGACAAGAGACTAACTATTCCTTTTTGTTTCCTCAGGTGTTTCAGGCGGTAAAACCATTTAAAGACTGGACTTGCATCAGGTGTGTTTCATGAATCTCCTGCAGACACTGAATGTTGATCTCTTGTGATGTATAGCACTGGGCTCAGAAATACAGTGTTGACAGAAGTGCAGCTCTGCCCCTGACAAGGCAGGCTCTGAGGAGATGATTTCTGAAAACATTTTGTTAACCTTGTGGGATTCAGACTATTCTGACTGCTCTCCTTTGCTCTCTTTCAGGTACTGGTCCTCTGCATACTTCACCTGCTTTATAACAATGTTGTAATGTGATTTGCCTGTATTATGTTTAATATTCTGCATTTGCTTGGATTTTTAATCAAATAAAAGAGCATTTAAAATTACTTTTGATTCTTAATTTTTCTACAAATATTACACTTGAGTAAAGAAATACAGATTATCATAAACTACCATTTCTGTTTATGGCCTTCAAATGATTTACTCAATTGTTCTAATACAGGGTATCAATAAAACACTTGGAGTTAGCTTAATGTGCAGGGGCATGGAATGAATGAATGTTTTATTTGTTGAAATAGATTTGATAATTTGATATCACTAATAATGGATTTGATCTCACTCTGTTAAAGTACATAGCATATACCCAAATTAACATGACAACTGGATGACTGTTTGCTGGGGTGATGATACATTTGGGACCTTAAAGTGAGTAGAAAATGTTTAGAAATGATTTCCAAACTCCACAGGGTAAATGTACTGTAGGTGTCCAGGTGGAAATAAAACATTTTTCATTACAGAAAAAATAAAATAGAACTTTGTTTCTGTATCTTTATAATTCTAACAATTTATTATCTCTTAAAACATTTGAAATTCATGTGTATATGAATGTGTACTGTATATGCATATCACATATACATATATATTCTGTAAGTTACCTTTCACCAGTTCATATTCTCATATTTTAAAAGATCTCTTAAAGGAAAATAAATGCTTTCTATAGAGTCAGACCAATTCCATCATCTTGTTCTCCTGACGGCAACGATGAGCCACCATATCTATTTTTAAAACGCAAAGAAAGGATTTAGGACAATTCTCCAAAAAAAATGTTTCTTGTATGTCACTTAATGTGAACATTTTATCAGTAAGTGATTATTTCAAGATGTCTTCTCCACAGTTATTAATTGGCCTTATTTTCACTAGCAAATGTTTTAGAGACCTGAAGGGGACATGTACAACACGGCTCTGAAATAAGTTTGGAAAGGATGCCACATTCTGCTTGTTCACCCAATCAGAAACACGCCCTTTTTAGATGAAAAACACTTTTAAACCTTTAAAGGGAAATGTGAAAAGCCACAGTTGCTAATGGAAATAGGGTCATTGCATAATATGCTGGTAATAAACAATTAGCTGTGAGCATAGACAGCACATATGCACGACTGCAGAAAATGCCATGTAGGTGCAAATGGTGGGAAACAGACTGGAGCTCTTCATACTAGTGTCAGGTCATTAACAGTGGAAGATGTAGAGAACAAGTCAAACTGTATAGAAAGCACAACAGTTAAATAAATACATTGTACCTTTATGTTAAACATTATTTGGAAGACAGAGATTCTTTAGAACTTTTGAGACTTTTTTGTACATCTTGAACCATAATTAGATGACCATTGTTTTCATCGTCCTTATTGCCATTTCCCCTGCATTCAAATAAAATCCCTCCTTGACCACCAGCACCAAGCAATTACGGAGACAAAACCACTTTTGCTCATTCACGTGCTTGTGTGTATGTGCACTTTTGAAAACTAATTTATCTTTTTGCAAAAACAGAGAGGCTAGATAGCAGTAAGGAAACTCCCCATCTACACCCCGATGTAAAACGCACGTGTGATATGTGTTTGAGGACTCGAAGCAGCAGGAGAGGTGAGCTGTTGTTCAAGGTAGAGAAGTCATGAGAGAGCCCTTATATTTGATCTCAGCAACAGTGAGAAATCAGGACTGAAGTTGTAAGGAGATGTACATGTGCAGTGGAAGCTGATGGAGAAATAGAAGACATTTAGTGCAATATGATTTGGAAAAACAATGACATAGATTTTTACTGTTGTGTATTGGCATCCCTAATGTAAGAGTTGCTACACATTCAGTATCTGCATATTATTAAGTGGCGACTAACTTTTAAAAGAGAAAACAAATATATATTTTAAGCCATTATTGTCCTTGTCAAATGCCTCACAGTTTGACAAAAGAGAAGCGGTAGCCTAAGGAGAAAGAAAAAGAAAGTGTATCTGAAATGTGCTTCACATTAAGTTGCAATGCTTCTTATCACATAGAAGCAATGTTAAGGGTACCGTGCACAAAATAATATGCATCTTCAATTCAAAAATACCTATTTATAGTATACACATATATATTTATATATATAACCAAGACAATTTTCTTCATCACAGTCAGAAAATAAACCTTCTGCCCAAAGCGCCATATCAGCCACCAAAGGCAGAAAGCAGGAACCCTCTGAAACTATAACAGTAAGGACGATGAAAGTAATGATATATACTAATAATAAATCTCTTCATATCAATATCAGTATTCCAGTATTCCCATTTAAAGTTTAAAAATTGTAAGAACAATCATAGTATTAAAACTCGATATAAGCGTTTCTCTCAGATCTCCTCGGCCGGGTGGCTGTTTGTTTCCTCCTGGATTTAGTCGAGAGAGGGGGGGGGGGGCCTCTCCTGGAAGGAGAAGGGGGGATTGGTTGGGAAAGAGCAAGTAAATGGCAGTTTTTCCTCTTCCCCTCCCCTCTCCTTTCCAGTCTCCCTCGGACGGAAAGTCTGAATGGTTGTTCAACAGTTGTCCCGACGCTAAGGAAGTCTTTCGCCATAAATAAAATCCTCGAGGGATATCTCTTCACATTGTTACGTTGAAAGCACAGTCTGTCTCCTTTTGTATAAGTATATCTCGGATCCAAACATATAGTGTGTCTATATATAAGGTGTCCCATAAACTCTAACACAACCACTTGCAAGTGCTTGTGGGTATGTGTTCGTCTACATGTTGGTGTATGCATGCAGGCGTGTATAGTAGTAACACGGGTGCCTGTGTGTGTATCAGTGTTTACATTTTTTTATATTATTTTGTTGGTCTGGGCACTTATTTTTGCTACAAATGTGTGATACAGTGACCAGTCTGTATATATGTCGTTATAAGACTGCAGATGATAAAGAGCTATAGAGAAACACATCAGATCCTGATCACAGGATCTGCAGTGAGGAAGGAGCCCTACCAGCGGTGAGGTAAAAACAGGACGTAAACCAATTAAAGCCGAACCCAAGCCAGCATCCTTGGTTTTAAATCAAGGACGCCAGTTATCGGTCTTCATGATTTACTGCCCTGCGCCATCCTACGTTGACCATGCAGTTAGACAAAGCATCACACCTGCAGCCTCACCCTCAAATACGCATTCCTCAATGATATTCACACATATTTTAAAACTAACATCCATTCACACGGGGCAGGGTTGTCATTGATTGCACTCTAAATGTTCTTGGTGGGCTCCACTCTTAAACCTGAACAGATTTAACCAGCTGGCTGAGGGGTTAGAGCAACAAACAGCTGCACACTGACGGACACCTTTTCTTATTTTCAAACTCGGCAACATCAAAACCTGCTTGATTTTATTCTAGAAATGTAACAGGCTTTTGATTGTTCTTGTCAAGTATTTGGTTCGGTTTCATCGCTTCCCTTGTTATATCTGCTTCCACCATAGTGTCTTCGTGTGCATTTTGGACTAAACTGTATTTGTGTTACTTGTTTGTTGATGGGTGTGACTGTGCATGCATATGGGGAGTGTACTTGTGTAAATCAGCGTGCCACAACTGGGGAGCGCCAGCCGGCTTCTTTATGGATCATCAGCTCTTTTTCCATGTGTTTCCATCTCCCTTTGGGAATTGCCTCCCTCTTTTTGTCGCTCTCTGTGTAAATATGTTCCCCCCTAATTTGTTGTGTGAATCCACCATGGATAGCAGCAGTTGTGCCTTCCTCCCTCGTTGACTCAAACCCTTCTTCCCTTCTTCCTCTCTCTCCTGCCTCTGCGTTTGCAACCTCAGCTCCGACTCCCATCGTCCCTCCTCCTGTCAGTCTGTCCATCCCGAGGTGAGAGAACAGAAATGGGAAATGGGCTGCTGGATAGCCTGAGGACAGAAGAACAGACAAATACTTTTTTGTAAAACGATAGTGAATGGTGTTGTTTCATACGTGCATGTGTTTTTGTAATGGAATCTTGCTTTATGAAAGAAAAAAACATACAATAAATTACAAGTTTAAATAAAATAGTTATAATGAAAACATTTTTCATGGAAGCTTCTGGTTCTAGGTGTTATTTTTATTAAATATAGTTTAATATGTATTTTGGTTACATCTGTCCATGTTAGGTTCTTTAAAAAAAAAAAAAAAAGTATATTAACAGAGAAAACTGCATGGAACCAAATGAAGCTTAGCACAATCAGAAAGACCAACATCATTTTCATTCTGAACTCCTTTTCTCTCTCACTACTCTAGCTGCTAACCCTAACTCTAACCCTAACCCTACTAAGCTGACTATGGGCAGTCACCTTTTTAGCTCCCCAACTACATGTTGCTACAATCTCCAAAAGCCAATCATTGTGCTGCTGTCAAACTTTAAATCTGTTCACCTACCATTGGCTGTAACTTCAGGCATCATCACTACATCATCAGAAGTTTACTGAACATCTCAACCAGTGTCTAAACAATAGACTGTATACTGTATATAAAGGTCTAAACCCACAGGTTTTTTGTTTTTTACTACGTACAGCTGCACCTCTCCCTTAAGATGTGTCCATTAATGTAAATAAATATCTCTAATAAAATTAATTAAAAAAAATCTTTCATGATTGATATAATTGACTTGAAGTTGAAGCCATACCTGTCCATTACGGTCCTCAGGGCACGCTCTATATTCATGCGGTGGCCGACACGTGTTACACCCAGATCCAGAAAGTCGTCCTTCGTTAGGGAGGGCAGGTGGGAGCCGTCAATTTCGTTGTCCAGGAAACGATCTCTGTGCTCTCCCAGGTTCAGGTATCCTAACCAGTCTGCAACGTCGTACTTGGTCCAGTAGGGCAGCGGCTTGGCGGCAAAAGGCTTTGTAGGGGAAGGGGGCGGTAGATGGGGATAACTCAGGCATGTAGGTGGAGGGTGAGGATGCATGGGCGGAGAAGAGGTCCCCGACAGGAAGTGAGTTGGGGAGAGGGAGCGAGAAACAACTAAAGCGTTGTTTGGAGGAGGAGGGGCACCAGAGGGGGCAAACAGGGGAGGAGAAGGCGAGAAGTAAGGATCTCCAAGAGGGTTTCCAGGTGATGGTGGGGTAACTGAACCTCGGAGGTCGTACATAGCACTGTAGAGAGGAGTGGTAGGGAGCAGCGGGAGGGAAGATGGCCGTGGTGGACCCACCTTGGGCCTCTCTGAGGGGGAGATGAGGGGGCTGGGTGCTCGCCTACGCTGCATCATGTGTGACTCTGCTTTACGGGACTCTCGACTCGGGATGAACTGAAATTCTAGTGCTTTGGTCCGGTACACAGGTCTGTGTTTGGGGGAAGTTGGGTAAGGGGCATAACCTGTTGGGGACAGGGGGGATTGGGAACGTGGAGGCTGAGAGGCAACTTGAGGTTGAGGAGATGGGGAACGTCCCCAGTTAGGGTACTGGGAAGTACGGGTCGGGGTCGGGGTCGGGGACGGGGACAATGATGGCTGCGATAATGAAATCGGAGACGGTGACGTGGATCGAGCTGAGGGGGGGCTCAGAGCTGAGGCGGAGTCTTCTGAAAATCTGTGAATGGAGAGGGAGAGAAACTGTTACAAGATAAATCCTTATAGAAACAACTAAAACAGTAAGCTGAAAATAATGCACACACATTAAGGGAAACATCATTTTCCAGTTATTTTAAGGACTTGTGGTCTTCAGCTTTTTGATTGTGTGTAAGTTAGTGCTATACATGTTTAACAACGTTTTCTCTCCTTGCGTATCACAATAGGCTGTAAAGTCAAGCAAATGTGTGATGTTCTTCCTGACAGAAAGAAAAGGAGCGGAGAACCGGCACAATTACCTGTTTCTGCTTCTGAGAGAAACACATGAAAAGACAGAAAAATAAAGAGTTTTACACAGTATAGACAAAACACGCACACAAGACATAAACAGACAGTACAGCGTTTTTCACAGAAGGCTTGAACATCAATTGTGGAAGGTAAAGAACTCACAGGTGGCACACTGATACGTTCACACAGGTGAAACATGAAAATAATGACAATGCTGTGCATCAACAACAACATGCTGCTCTCTCTGATGTGTACCTGTGTCTGCTCAGCGCTCTCTGGCTGCTCCAGGTCTCCTTGGTTCTTTGCTGCAGTTTACTGTTCAGCTCATTTATGATGCTTGGCTTCATACTGGATGCAGGAGGGTAAATCTTCTTCCCCTCTAAAAGTGCTGCAGATTGGTCACCGGCCATTTGCCCCTCGTCCCAGAGAGGCTTCATCTCAGGGGTGCGAGGGCGATCAAAGTACGGTGAAACGGGACGTCCCAAATGCATGTCCCTCGACCCATACCGATCCCTGCCACCTTCATCCACTCCGTCATCAGCCTCGTCCTCCGTCTGCTCCTCCCTTTGTCTGTGGGAGTGGAAGGATGTGGGAGCAGTGCTGGTCTGCCTGTGGATGTCACTGGTGCGACCTCCCTCTCTGAACCTGTTGCTTTTCGGGTAGGTGGAGGTGGCTGCTGTCGCATTCTGCATCTCAAAAGATTGTCCGTCCAGATAGCTCATGTAAGACTCCAGGAAATCTCCTCCCCTTTCTGATTCCCCCGTCCCACCCCGTCCTCCCCTCTCCCCACGGTCCAGCCTGTCTCCCCGGACCCCGGCCAGGATGCTGTCCAGGTGGTGGTCACTGCTGCTGCGGCTGTCCAGCTCTTCAATCCCAGAGTCCACTACCGTCTCCAGGGACTCTCCTTTCTTGGTAGTGGGGGGGGGGACGGTGGTGCTCCCCTGTCTTGCGACTAATGGCAGTGGAAGATGTTGTGTGTGTGGTGTGTGTGCGCTCCTGGTAGAGCTGAGTGGAGGTGCTTGTTGTGGTGGCAGCAGCGGTGGTTGTAGCGGCACAGCTAGCGGTCATGGCATGTGAGGCAGCGCCCCTATGTGGAGCGGGCGTGGCAGCAGTGGAGGAGGGGGCTTGGGGACCACGGTAGGCCGGCGGGGGCGTGACTGTGTGTGGGGGAGGCGTGGGGGAGCGCCCAGGCGTGTGAGAGCTGTTGTAAAGGTGGTGGGGGTGGGACATAGAGAAGGGTCTGTGATAGGACCCAGGAGGAGGCGGTGGCGAGACTGAGGGGGGAGGCGGAGGTCCCGATGCTGAGGTGGGCTGCAGGGTAGAGGGCGAGTGAGAGGGCAGAGGGTTGGGTGAGGTTTGGGAGGGGGAGTGAGCGGACTGAGTCAGGTTAGCCACCTCGCTGTCATACGATGTGAGGCTGGAGGCAGTGGAGTCCCCTGCCTGAGGTGAGGGCAGGGGTGTGTGAGCAGGAAACCCACCTATAAATGACTCTTTTTGGGTTGTTGGAGGCGGTGGTGGTGGAGGAGGTGGAGGTGGAGGGGGCGGGACCTGCTGTTGGCGGGAAAGCAGGCTGTTGGGGCGCATCCCGTGTTGCGAGTACCCTGACATTCCCCCCATCCCCCTGTCGAAGCTGTTAGCAAACTGTAACGGAGGTGGGAGAGGGTCTGCGTAGACAAACTCATCGTCCGCATCAATTGAAGGGGCAGGGGGAGGAAGAACCATCAAACCAGACCCAGTGCTCCCAGTACTGTTGGCTGTCTGCTGAGTACCGGTAGGGGGAGGAGAGGGAGGGGTGAGGGACAAGATATAGGCATCAGCTTGACTTTCCATCCTGAGAAAAGAGGGTCTCTGAGGCTGCTGGGACCCCTGTTGAGCAGCACTATCAGCAGCCTGCTCTGCCCTCCTTAAGTAACCCTCCCTCTCTTGTTCCCTCTCTCTCTCTCTCGACCTCTCCCGCTCCCTCGACCTCTCCCGCTCCCTCTCCTTGTAGGATGGCTGAAACGGCTGAGACTGGTAGTGGTGTGTGTGGACCGTTTTATCTTCAGAAAAGCGAACTCTTAGCCCCTCACGTGCCCCTCCTCCTTCCCGCTCTCTCTCTCCTCCACCGCCTTCCTCATTCCACACACTCCCGACTCCTCTGAGGATTCTGGGTGAGGGTGGGCGGCCAACAGTGGCCGTGGTAGCAGCCAAAGAAGATGAGGTGACCAGGTACGAGGAGCTGGAGGACTGGGCGGTGGAAGACACTGGCTGAGAGGTGACAGAAGAAGAAGGAAACCCCCCACTCGACATCTGGCGGGTGAAGTGGGGCTCTGTTCCCCTCCTTAACCTGCTGTCATCCCTCAGAGCACGCTCTCTCGCAGCGAGGGCGAGACCTAGTGGCGATGTGGGGTCAAGAGCCTTTCCTGTTAGAGGGTGAATGAAGGTGGTTTTACTCGAGGATGCGGACTGCCTGCCAGTGTAAAGGTCAGTAGGTACAGATTTGGGCTGATAGTCCTGGGCAGCTGAGGAGTACTCAGGTAGGTCAAAGGCTGGAGGCATACTGCGGGTGTGATGGATAAAGCTGTCCCCAGAGAACATGCCCTCATCAATAGACTTGGAGGGGCGCAGCCGTGTTGATGAGCTTTCAGCCTGTGTGCTAAGCTGTTGCTGCGACACTTGAGTCCTTGAAATGCCATCACTCCCCCCCCCCAAGAATCACGTCCTCATCAGCAGACATGAACATTGAGGAACCCTTTCGGCGGAGTTCATGAAACCGTTCCCTGTCTCGGCGAGCAGCGCCAACAATGGCAGCACCAAACTGGCTAGTGTAGTCCATATTATCCTGGGCACGCATTGAGGGTAAGGATGGAGGCGGCGGTGCTGGGATGGAAGGTGGGGCAGGGGGCTGCGGAGCAGGACTGGAGGGGGGAGGACCATGAGCTGTTTTGGCTTCATCTGCCTCCCCTGATGCAAGAACATCGGCCTCCACACTGCTGCCTTGGCTGCTGCGCCCACTGCTGCTGGTTGAAGGGGCCTTGACAATTATTGTGGGGATGGGGATGGAGCTTTTCTCCACTGTGCCTTTACCCCCCAGTGTACCCTGGCTCAAGCGCAGGTCTTCTACCTTGGATTGCTTCATCAGGGGGCCTTTACCTCTCCGGGCCCCTCCTTTAGGACCGCCTGCTCCAGCTGCACTGCGCTCTGCGCGATGGGATTGGCTCTGGGCAGGCTGCTGTTGCTGGGGCATTACAGTGGCAATGCTGGAGGGGGGGACCGCTGTGCTGTAGCCTCTTCTAAGACCTGCTGCCTTGGCCCCTCCTCCAGCCCCTCCACCAGCCCCTGACCCAGCTCCACCAGGCTCTCCAGTATAGGCAACTTTCCTCGAAGCAGTCCTGCTTTGAGCAGTATGGGCAGCTGCGTGTGCATATGAGGTGGTGTGGTCCACTGCTCCACCACTGGGGCCAGTGCTGGGACCCCCTGTCCTTTCCCTGCCCCCGTGGGTGAAGTGCACTGGCTGGGAGTAGGGCTGGTAGTGTGCAGAGGTGGCTGTGGACTGGGACACAGAGACAGAGGGCTGCTGGGAGGACTTTGCTCTCCAACCAAGTGGCGGAGCAGAGGAGAATGGAGGTTCTGGTGGTGCTGTGGTGGGAGGAGGGGGGATTTCATCTGGGCCGGGCACTGACAGACTGCGAGCAAACTTCATGGCTGGAGGATGCAGGAACTGCCTTTCGTCCTCAACCGCCCCTGCAGTAAAGCATTAACAAAAAAGAAAAAAAATGGCGATGAAATAGGCATTAACCTACTGTATAATACAAATTGTGTAAAGTGAGAATAAGAACAGAAGAAAGGTTTGGGGGTGAATAAGAGTAGAGGGGAAATGGTAATCTGAGAGTGTCTGTCTTAATCTGACTGCCCGTGTAACTGCCAGCAAGTCTGTCCTCAGTTCTCATGTCTGTTAGTAGGTAAATCAGTTAGTGCTATGTATTCCACAAACAGGAAGCAACTGGGCAACATCACACAGCAGCATTCATTTTGTTGGTCACCAGAGAGCACATTTCTATTTCAGGAGTGGAGATAGCAAAGCCTCAGTAAGCAACAAACCAGAAATTAATTCATTAGAGTAAAACAAAGATTAGTGGCCATTCTTTATACAACAAGTAGTAGTAGGGTGAGTTTAACACAAACAAACAACTTGTTTTTACAGTACAAGTATAACATACAATAGCTACAGATACAGATAGGGTGACAGAAAGTGTGCACATTTTTAGGCACAGACAAGACAAACAGGTCGGCGCAGAGTTGATCTCTGCTGCTCCAGAGGACAGACAGACAGGCCAAAGGAGGGGCAGACAGAAAAAACAGACAGCCTCACCGATGGACTTCTGCCGCAGCATACCGTGCGGTGGGCCGTGACCTGAGGTGAACTGGCCACGTTCATAGCCGAGGCCCAACCCAGACGACATCATCCCCATCCCAGACTGATCCCCGTAGTTTGGCTGAAATGCCAAAAAGGAACATGTGAAAAAAATGAGATTAACATGACATTCAATTGTGCAATACATGTGTGGGTCGGAGAACCAAAATCATTGGTTTTATGAATCACACCTTTGCTTGGCTGGTTTGTTGTAATGTCAAAAAAATGTATGCACGTTTATGGAGGTTTAAAATAGTCAACAATAACTGTTATTTAAAAAAAATAACTGGTACAGTAGTTTAATTGTTTTCATATTTTTTAAACGTAAGGATGTTGCTGCAGAACTTACGACGTTGCCATGTGTGTTCGGACTACATATTCTGCTCGACACAAATGTGAAATATGTCTTGTGTTGTCCTTCAACTGGTTTATTACATTGCATTTAGCTGAGGCTTTTATCCAAAGCGACTTACAATAAGTGCATTCGACCAAGAAGATACAAACTTGAAGAAAACAGAATCATATAAGTACATCAGGTTTCATAGAGCCAAAACATTTCAAGTGCTACTCAACTAGCTTTAGATAAGCCAGTCCTTTATTAGTATATAAGTGCTCTGTTGGTAATTTTATTGCTCGAAGTGGAGTCGAAAGAGATGAGTTTTGAGTCTGCGCTGGAAGATGTGTAAGCTTTCTGCTGTCCTGATGTCAATGGGGAGCTCATTCCACCATTTTGGAGGAAGGATAGCAAACCCACGTGTTTTTGCTGATGAGAACTTGGGTCCCCCTCGCAGTGTGGGTGCAGCGAGCCGTTTGGCCGATGCAGAGCGGAGTGCACGTTCTGGGGTGTATGGTTTAACCATGTCCTGGAGGTAGGAAGGGCCAGATCCATTCACAGCATGGTACGCAAGTACCAGTGTCTTGAAGTGGATTCAAGCAGTTACTGGAAGCCAGTGAAGGGAGCGGAGGAGCGGAGGAGCGGTGTGGTGTGGGAACATTTAGGAAGGTTGAAGACCAGACGAGCCGCTGCATTCTGGATGAGCTGCAGAGGTCGGGTGGCACATGCAGGTAGACCAGCCAGGAGGGAGTTGCAGTAGTCTAGGCGTGAGATGACGAGAGCCTGGACCAGAAGTTGCATCGCTTTCTGGGTCAGGAGGGGACGTATCCTCCTGATGTTGTAAAGCGTGTATCTGCAGCAGCGGGTTGTTGCAGCGATGTTTGCAGTGAAGGACAGTTTGTTATCTAGGGTCACACCCAGATTCCTTGCACTCTGAGTCGGGGAAACAACAGAGGGGCCGATGTTGATTGTTAGGTCAAGAGTGGGACACTCTTTTCCCGGGAAAAAAAAAGCAGTTCAGTCTTGTCAAGGTTGAGCTTGAGGTGGTGAGCAGACATCCACTGAGAGATGTCTGCTAGACAAGCAGAGATGCGTGCGACGACCTGGGTTTCTGAACGGGGTAAAGACAGAATAAATTGGATGTTGTCAGCGTAGCAATGGTATGAAAAACCATGCGGGCTAATGACCGATCCGAGCGAGTTTGTGTACAGAGAGAAGAGGAGGGGACCAAGGACAGAGCCCTGAGGGACCCCTGTAGTTAATTTACTACAAGGGTCGGACTCGGACCCTCTCCAAGTTACCCTGTAGGTGCGGTCTTTGAGGTAGAAGGTGAGGAGGGAAAGTGCAGAGCCTGAAACTCCAAGTTCTTGGAGAATGCGAAGGAGGATCTGATAGTTCACCGTGTCGAATGCAGCAGATAGGTCCAAAAGGATGATGACAGAGGAGAGGGAGGCTGCTTTAGCAGTGTGCAGTTCCTCAGAGACAGCGAGGAGAGCAGTTTCTGTGGAGTGACCTGCCTTGAAACCAGACTGGTGCGGATCAAGAAGGTGGTTCTGATGGAGATAACAGGAGAGTTGTTTAAAGACAGCGTGTTCAAGTGTTTTAGACAGGAACGGGAGGAGAGAGACAGGCCTGTAGTTTATAACATCGGACGGGTTGAGAATGGGTTTCTTTAGGAGGGTTTACTCTTGCCTCCTTGAGACTGTTTGGAAAGTGACCAGAAGTTAGAGAAGTGTTGATGAGATGGGTGAGAAACAGTAGAATATCAGGAGCGATAGTCTGAAGGAGGTTTGAGGGGACAGGGTCCAGAGGACAGGTGGTAGGACGGGCAGAGGTAATGAGGGTAAGAACCTCACTTGGAGAGAGAGGGGAAAAGGAGGTTAGTGTGTGGGTGAAAGGAGGGTCTGGTGACCCAGCGGTGAGTAAAGGTGAGTCGGAAAAAGAAGAGCGAATATCATCAACCTTTTTTTCAAAGTAGTTAACAAAGTCGCTTGGAAGAAGGGAGGAGGGGGAAGGGGCTCTGGTGGGGTCGAGGAGGGTGGAGAAGATAGAAAATAGTTGTTTGGTATTGGAATAGGAAGAATGGATCTTATCTTGAAAGAAAGTGCTTTTTGCCTGAGAGATCGAAGATGAGAAAGAGGAGAGGAGAGATTGATAGAGTAGGAGGTTGTCAGGGTGTTTGGATTTCCACCATTTCCGCTCAGCTGCCCGAAGGATGGTTCTATTAGCACGCAGTTTATGTTTCATTGTTCATTACTATCCAGGAGATAGATACAGTATATGCAAATCTCTGGAACTTAATCAGAATCAGAAACAGGTTTATTACCAGGTAGGTTGACACGAGGAATTTGACTTGATATCATGGTGCATACATAAAAGTAAAACAAAAATTAAAAACACATATAGAGAACTATTTTAAGAAAACTATAATAACATAAAAAAATATTTAAAAATATAGCAAAATATAGCAAAAATATAGCATTATTTACATAGAAATAGAATATAATATAATCAAGGGGATCTTTAATTGTTCAGACTCTTTGATGAAGCAGTGACAGGATCATTTAAGTTGAAGTTGTGCCCGGTGCAGCATCCCTGTTTTACTGGTTGTTTGCTTTTCATTGAGTTGTTTCCGGCTGTCTCATACTACAACTCAACTTCTTGTTAGATAGTCACTGTTCACAACCTGATGACAGACACAGTGAACACAGGAACCCGTATTTCAGGAAACTAGAAATGAAACTGTAATAGATTTTTCAAAACACACCTCATTGCCATAGAAACTTCGTCCTCTGTCTCTTTTTGGCCCCTGTCCCCGTGTCCCTGGTGCTTCATTGGTGCTTATGGTCTGCTGAGCTGCTGCAAGAATTTCATCTAGTTTATCTGAGAGAATAATACAGAGAGAGAGAGAGAGAGAGAGAGAGAGAGAGAGAGAGAGAGAGAGAGAGAGAGAGAGAGAGAGAGAGAGAGAGAGGAGAGAGAGGAGAGAGAGAAGAGAGAGAGAGAGAGAGAGAGAGAGAGAGAAAGAGAAAGAGAAAGAGAAAGAGAAAGAGAAAGAGAGAAAGGGACATACAACAATGAAACAGAAAAATGACCATCAAAAGTGAAGGAAACATTGTGTGGAAAGGGACCAACTGGATGAAAGTGGACGAGAAAGAAAGGAACAGATTCAGAAAACATCTGACAAACACAATCTCCCTTACTCAAAGCCATCTGATAGACTGTCCTCTTCTTCTCTGTGACTTGGGAGGATTCGAATTCTAAAAGGAAAGAAACTCAGAATAAGGCCAATAAGAGACTGAGCGGTGAGTGCCAACTAATTTTGGAAAGACATAAATACAATGTCTTAAAGGTCCCATGTCAAGCTTTTCCGGTTATTACCCGTCCCCTTGTGTGTTATGTAGCTTTTTCTGCATTAAAACGGTCTGCAGAGTCACAAACCCTCAAAGTACACCCTGTAGCGAGTAAAACTCTAACACAGAGAAGACCTGTCTATGCTAACCCAGAACGCCTCGTTGGAGATTTTTATTTTTCCATTGTTTTCTTCCTGGGTACAGTGACGTGACCATACCCAAATGGACCCATTGGTCCAAATGGACCAATCCGTGGAGCTCCTCACACACACACACTCTTTTAGCGGCGAAAATGTGACGTGCTGGGGGGGGGGGGGGGGGTGGTGCCTAGTGGAGCCTCGCAGTGTGGCGAAACTGTGGCGCGCTTACACTGTAGGTGCGCCGTGTTTGGGGGTGCGGGGGGGATGCGGGTGCTAGTGGAGCCTCGCAGATGGGGCTGCTGCAGCCCCCCCCCCTTCCCGCGTCCATTCGCGATGTCTTGCTGTCTCGCTGTCTCGCAGCAAGCAGGAAACCACACCAGTAAGCCAGCTCACACTGTCAGCTCCTCGCAGCAGCGAGCCAGTGGGCGAGCTGACCAATCAGAGCACACTGGGCTCACAGGGAGGGGAGGGGCAGGAGCTCCAACAAGGCGTTAAGGACAGAGAGTGTAATTCAGTGAATACACATACTATACAGAGATGCTGTATGAGAAAACCAATGTGAGTTTGGAAAATTGCACAATGTAAATCTATTCTAGTAGACCTCAACAATGGAATTATGATCAGTAGAAATGGCCATGTCATGGGACCTTTAAGCAAGTGTATACCAGAGCATACCTGATTTTTTTTTCCAAGGGGTAGCAGCTGGAAGGAGGACAAAAGGAGACTTAAGTTTTGGCAGGAGTGAAAGTGCGATAGCGTTGTTACAGGGAATACTAATCATATCCCCTGGAGCCTGACAAAGTGAGTCACCTCGCCAGGCTTTTCCATCTTCGATGTAAAAGAACGTACATAACACCCACACTTTAAGACAGCTGAAGCATGCACACTTATGTTACAGTAAACATGCTGCACACGCATACAGTATGCTTCTTGCTGTTACTCTCTCTTACACACTTGAAAACACAAATATAAATGTGGAATTAGTCTGAACTGACTCCCACCTCTCTCTACTGTTAAATGGTTGAGATCCCGGCAGCAGTGAAGTGGGGACAAAGGAGAAAGAGGAAAGACAGAGTAAGTGGTTAAACCAGCAAAGGGATAAGTCTACAGGGGAGTAGAGAGGAGGAATTAAAGGTGACCCTTTGGTGTTTGCATCCGCTGGTGAGAGTGAGCTTGTGTGTGCGGACTGAATAGAAATAGGGTTATTCATAATACTCATACTGAGGCCGTTATATTTCATAATGTGTAGTTTATTGAGCCTGATTAAACATAAATTAAACGTAATGTCCGATGGTTAAACCAAGCATGAAAGGAATTTGAATGTGTCCTGATTTGATCTGTTACTTACAACACAAATCCTTTCAAAATCAAGCCATATTTTGTCCGTACACATTTAAACAACATTTGGGTGAAATTATTTTTTTGGACTGAAGTGCACTGCATGATCATTTCCATTTCAATGTCCTTGTTTTCCTGCAGCGTGACTTCTGAGTGAACTGGGACACTGCACCAATCACAGAGGTGAGATAGCTTAATAGGCGTCACAGCTAAATGAATTCTAATGCATTAGAATGAGCATATGGTGGGGCTGACATGGCTTCATCACACACTGTGCCCCTCTCACCTTGATTCAGAAGGAGGCATAAGCAAACAGGGCCCAAGTTATTATAAGGTGTGTATAATAACTTAGAAAGTGTGCAAATACACTAGCCACATGACAAGGAAACTGGAGTATTTATTTATGAATGAACCTTTATTGATTCAAACTAACCCTTTTATTTAAAAGCTTAGCCTTATTTTCCATGCATAGCCCGAGAAATACTGAGATTTCTGGCGCCAATATGGATATTTGTGAAGAAATAAGAGTAAGATTGGCTCTACTTTGGCTAATAGAAACTTTAGTTTAACATAATAACACACAAATAATATATCCAAAAATGAAAAAGATCCCTTTGAGATTTCTGTTGTTTAAAGAATGTTGACCAAGATACATATTAAGTTGGACATTTTCAGTTTTTTTTCTGTCATCTTGAATGACCTCAAACCTATACTGCATTTCTTTTTTACGTACTGGCCAAAATATACACTGTACAATAAATCTGCAATAAGCTGTACCTGACTGACTTAGCTCTTGTACCGTGGCACTATTAAATCTCTATATCACTTTAAATAATTCCAATACTGTACCTTGGTATGATGATGATGATGATGATGATGATGATGATGATGATGATGATGATGATGATGATGATGATGATGATGATGATGATGATGATGATGATGATGATGATGATGATGATGATGAGGCTATTGTGCACAGTTTGAAAACAGCAACATGGTTACTGCTTTTTAAAAAATAATAATAACCACATCCTCTTAAGAAAAAAAAAGAATGTGCGTTATATGTGGTGGAAGGAGAACAACTTCATGTTTTTGTTTTGCCAAAAAGCAATCAAGCAACTGTGTAACGTAAAATGGTTTCATTTGTAACAACTCAATGTTTGTTTAAGTGATACTCTATATATTGAGATAAGCATACAGTTTCACTGCATACATACAGTGCTAATGGGAAATAATAGTGTATAGTGAGCAGTGAAGGAAAGGTGGGTTTGGGGTAGAGGAAACTGGCACCTGTGTTCAAACTGGGTGCTCATGCTTTGTGTTGCTCAAGTGAGGTCACACCACAGAGAGGAGGCAGGTGAGATGAGGAAATTGGGGAGGAAAAAAGCAAAGGGCTTATTTATATCTAGACTGATCCTGACTTACAGCATCAGGGCCGGACTCAGTTGGTAGTTGCTGTTGTGTACCAGGCAAGTTTAGTCATTGTTTGTAGGCTAAAGTACTGAAACCAGATCTGAAACCAGCTGATGTAGCCCTGCAGATTCCCCTCCCCTCCAGAAGCTCCACATGTTATCAGCACTCCTACATCATCAATTACTAACTGGGCATGCTCAGAACCAGCCAGCAGCGACACTTACAGCGGCGGCAAACACCATAAATGTTCAGCAAAGATAATCCAATCACCAATAAAACACTGGCCAATTTCAGATCTGCAAATGGGGGTGTTGACCCTCACCATGCACTCTCCTCCCACTATTTTGCCTCAAATAGAGATGGCATAAGCATAGCCACACATAATGATGTTACCATAGCAACAGACCTGGAACAAAGTTGCTTTTTTGCTAAATTACTCATCTCAATAATTTTATCCTGGGCAAGATTTATTTTTAATTAATCAGAGACGTTCTCAACTAAATATTACACTTGATATGTTGCAACTTGCTCACTAAGACTTGGAGACAAGACACTTAGCCATGATGTTTTCAGCATCTGGAAAAACTCTTCTCAGGTGACGCCCATTCCCCTGCAGTGTTACCTTGGCAACAAATACTTGCTGAGTGTCTGTGTGTGTAGAGCAGACAAAGTAGTAGACTGCTCTGTGGGCGCTGGGGTTAAAGCTGTGGGCGGGCCAGGGAGGAGTGGGGGGTGCAGGGGGGTAAGAGAGGCGGGCAGTGAGAGAGGGATCACAGGGTGGTTAGCGACACTTTTTCAGGGAGGGGTTACCTGTAGTGGGTGTGCTGGAAGTGACAGTGTGGAACCTCTGAAAGAACAGTGAAATGCATTGAGACCTTCATCCACGGCGGAGCCACTTTTTCCTGTCCCCCTCCTATCTGTCCCTGAGTAACTTTACTTTCTTGCTGTCTAAAAATGTAGACCTAGCTCCACTCCCCTTCACACTTTCAGCATCTTAAACAACCCCAACACTCAGATCTCACACTGTTTATATTATCCTTTATCACTTCAATCTATTCCTCCTTTTTTTTTTCTCTCTCCCCCATTCAGCTTTAATGTGTTCTTCATATGTTTTTTGAATTTCCCTGTCTGTCTGTTGTTTCATTTATTGTCGATTTCCACCCATCCACAAGTTTATGTAAGCCAATTTCTTACCCATCTCCTCCAGTTCTGAAGTCATGGATTTGGATCGTAGGGCGATAGCGGGGGTGCTCAGCCTCTTGCTCTGCTGGGGGACTGCAGGGGGGGGGGGGGGGGGGGGGGACAGACACAGGCAGCAGGGGTCAGTCAACAACTAGGTTCAGCTATCGCTATCATTCATTTACCGCTGAACCCCAGGTTGCAGAAGATAGACTCCTACTTTTCTTCCTCGAACCCTCCTCCATGTCGGGGTTGCGGGTTACCATGACAACTTTCACCATAAGGCTGTTTCCCCCCTGCCGGATCATGTTGACGACCTGTCGGTGACCGACCTTCACCACATTCTGACCATTGACCTGGGAGAAACATGTAGAGACAAAGAAAGACAGAGAAGTAATTGAGTTTAATAACACGCCCACCAGCCGCATCCCCATCAGGTTGAAATGTTTAGCTTTGTTTACTGTATATACATTTTATGGGCTGAAAAGGTCAAAATATCAACAACAAAAAAACTACAAACAGCTTTCATTTAGTTTTGGTTTAAAGTGAGGCATTGGGCCACTGAACTAAATATTTGTTTTTGTTGCAGATCAATCGTGAATTAAAATATTTTATAAAAATAAAAAGTGTACAGAAAATTAAACATTTCCTTCACTGGAGAGGACTGTGAACCTTTCCTAACTTTTAACTTCCCCCTAAGGTTTTGTTTGAGTGTGTTAGCTTTTTTGTCTGGTTGTCGGCAGGATTACGGAACAAAACTATTTGAATTTCATCACAATCGGTGGAATGGTGTCACATTGGCCAACTTAAAGGGGACCTATCATGCAAAATGCACTTTTGTACGTCTTTTATACATGAATATGTATCCCCGGTGTTCCAGGGAACTCACCAAGTGTCAGAAAACACAACCCTCTCTATTTTCCTCCATACCCAAATCTCTAAAAAAGGGGCTGCAACGGATCTGATAAAAACTGATCCAGATTTGAACACTGTCCTGACGTCAGGACAGTGGCGCTACGGCTATTGGGCCAACTCCACCAATCAGGAGGAGACAGACACGGCCATTGCCGTTCGAAAGCGCTGGAGACGCTGTAGTACATATGCCAGGCCAGTAGATGGTGCTGTTCTCACAGAATCAGCCCTTGCAAAAACAGAGCTAGAAATTGTCAAATTGAGTAAAATGAGGCATGGCTAAAATGCATGATCTGTTTGGTATTTTGAAAAAAAAAAGTATAAATATGCCTTATATAGGTATGGTCCTACACTATATTATTCAAATATAGCATGATAGGTCCACTTTAAACTTTGGAGCAGATCTGAATCATGGGGCAGATAAACACAATATGTTTCACCTCTAAATTGTGCTTATAATTACAACCCATAATGCAGTAGTGAATCGTAGTATCACCTCTATCAGGAAATCCCCCATCCTGAGCCCGGCTCTCCAGGCGACCCCTCCCTCGTCCACAGACTCCAGGTACTGCAGAGCAGGGAAAGCCGGGGTGGGGGTGAACTCCTCGATAGGAGTCTGAGCTGGAGGCGCAATACAAATACAAGAATCCATTAGCATGTGATACAAGTGCTAAATTGTTTTATAGATTGCTAATACATTTAACCCATCCTATAAAAGCAATGGGAATCAAGTACAGCCAGCAGCTAGGGAGCAGCGTTTCAGAGTACCTGTCTGCTCCGGGACTTTAACCGGCAACCATCGGTCCCAGAGCCAACAGACTAGAGACTGAGCTACTATCTATATAGCTATATGATAAGGACACAATCAACAAATGAGATTGCAAGGCAAAATGTTCCTTTAACATTACTTACCTTTGGCCCCTCTTAGCACAAAGCCGAAACCCTCGCTGTCCTTTTTCTGTAGAAGCACTGTCTTCTCCTTTATTATGTAGTCACTAGCAGAGATGACACAGAAAACAGAGAAAAAGAGAGTAAGAGATGACACAAGACTGAAAAGAAAGACAGACAACTAGGAGGACACGCATTGCACATCCTTGCATGTCTTTATTCATAATTTAATCAATGGGATTAATGGGTGTAAACGGAAGTTTTAAATCAATAAATAACAACATTTATCTCGCTGGTATTATATTGTAGCCTCCTGTTCTCATTTATTTTTCTCTCAGAGTGCTGAGAGGAGAATACTTTGCGGTCCTTTCCTAGTAAAAGGCATGTAGGGATACAAAAGATGAGATTAGAGGAAATCCAAAATGAATGTACATATTGGAGCAGAACTCTTTGCTACAAACTTAAGTACATCTACAACCCCATAGATATAGCTTGTTGCCCTTTAGAGTAGGCCGACCCCTGGTTAAACTACCCAACTCTGTATAAAAGACTAGCTCCACCTTAACCAGCAACAACCTACTGTACACTTTAATGCTTCAGTAATACAACTTTTCTTACAATGTCCTCTATAAAACATTGGTGAGGGGTTCCTTTACTTTTAAAACTTAGAGTACATTGAGATGATAATGCTTTCTTCATGAGTTGGATTTGAATACAGAACGTAAACATGTAATGGAGTATTTTCACATTGTAAGTAAAGGAAATCTAGGATGCAGTTTGCAGTTAAAATCACACATTTTGATAAACATATGTCACTTAAAGAAAAATGTAGGATACCATTAAATCCTTAGGGTGCTAAAAATGTCATTAAAATATGTTTTCCTGAGTTGTGTTGTATGTGCCCATTACAAGATGCTTTTCTTGTCCTACTAGTAATAGAGGTGAGACATGTCACACACATCAATGCTGTGGTTTAAATAACTTCAGTGTGAGAAACAGCACCGCCTCTCAGGGCTGCTGACCTCTCCGGACTCTTGTCTTCTTATGAATGGAAAGACACATTGAGTCAGTCAGTGAGTCAGAGGGGTATATATACCGTGTCAGCTGTAACATACTGTAACCACATGCTGATAATCCCACTGGCACCAAAGAGTCCCAGCCCACTCCATCTGTTCATCCCTCTCTCCTTTTCTCATGACTGGCTTTTCTCCTTTTTACATTTCTCCATCCTTATGGCCCCTGCCTAACCCAATACTTCCCTTTATATTGACTTCCTTCCTTTGCTCTTTAATCTTCTGCTAATTTCTTTCTAATCACATTTCCCCCTTATGATCTTTTAAAGTCAGTCTATTGAGTGTGTGATGCTCTCCACAGGCTGTGTGAGCCTCTCTGTCTCTGCCAAGGCTCTGTCTCTTTGTTATTCTTGTCTTCTTCTGTCCATCTCTGTTGCCCAGCCCAGATTTCTAACACACTGAGGCACCAAACAAACACATTACTGTACGCATTCACACAAATCTTAAGGTAGGTCTGAGTGAGAGGAAATTACAATTGGGCAGTAGGTGCAAAGTAATGTTGATGAAATATATACACACACATTCTTCTGTAGCTGTTCATCTGTCTCTGCAGGGAACACAAGCAACAAGTCGCTCAATGGAAATAAAGCATGTGTGCAGACAACAGACATATCAGTTCAGGAGACTTTACAATTAACAGCAGATCATGTTTGCACTTGTTTCACTACTGACAGTGCTTAGTCTCGGTAGTAAATAATACAATGGATATATAGTTTCCTAGTTTTATGCAAACGCTAGACAACATGATTGAATGCCTCAAAACTTAAGACACACACAAAACTTAAAACGTAAAGAAATATTACATTGATCACTGGGGCTGATGATAAACTCTAAAATCTAGACTCATTAAATTAAAAAAAAGCAGAAAATGCAAAATATTCCTGATGAAATATACTTTGTGAAACCAGCATTCAGAGAGAACTAAATACCTGGTCGGATCTGCTATCACAGTGACACACACACACACATGTTTAGTGATCCGATCACATTTGGTCCGTTTACACCTGGCTGCAGAACTCATTGACATGTGAGTCTTGAGTTACCATTATCTCCTCAAATCTAATTTCAGCTCTGCTCCGGTTTGAGCGATCAGATCTCAATTTGACCACAAAGCGCCTTGAGAGTATTCACACCTGTTCTTAGAGCTGTCCACTTGTGATTGAATCACAAGAGACACATGTCTATTCCCAGTCTGAATAGGACCAAAGTTACACTCACAACTCTGCCAAGTCTTTCGCAATGTGAACAAATAATTATTGCAACTGCGAGTTTCTTTCTAACGTGTACAAGAAAATGAGCCTGATCATATCTGTCATGTTTATGTTGTATTCTGTATCCTTTATTCACCCTGTTTGGTGTATGTGTGACCGCTCAGGGCTGAATACATAGCACTCATCCCTAGAAACCCATCCAACCAACTCAGGCTTTGCTGTCTTCAAGGATATCATCAACTGTTCCAGTTCAGTGACTCGATCAACTGAAGTCCAAATCATTTCTGGACTGAATGTTCCTCCAAGTTCGGCTGAGAAATAAAGCCTGCATGTGCAAAATACTGCACCAGTGAATCCTTAGAAGCCCCCATTGCCTCGAAGTGTTCTGTGTGCCTGGTCAACGGTATCAGAGAGTGTTGAGGCTTTCCTTTTCAACTTAAAAAGTTAGGAAGCATTACATGAGCAGGTCACATTTTAGCACTGTTGGGTGTTAATCATGGAAGCAATGCATAAACTCAACTGTGTTAGCAGCCTGCCTGATCATGTTGCACAAACAGGTTATTACAAAACAGACATTAAATCTACACTATCTGCTAGGTAACATGTAATGTAAATGTGGGTATATTTCAACTTATCCCAGTTAATAACTTTGTTTTGACACTTTGTTGGGTGTTTGACAGAAATCTGCCAAACTCTGAAAACTGTCTTTACAAGGTGACACCTGAACGCACCATTGCTTTTGCTCTTTGCTAGGATCCAGCAGCCACTAAACTGGTATCCAGGGAAAATGCCACTCAGCGTTGCATCCTCCTTATTAGCAACCTAAAGTTGTGTCAGTATCTGAGCTGGACAAACCAGCAAAGTAAAGAGATTCAAGCCGAGATATTAAATAGATTTGGCCACGCAGGCTTCCGTAGAGGTGTCAGAAAGGAGCTGGAACTTGTCATGCATGCTGCATCGTTAAAACTCTCTCACCATGAGCTGTTTCCAATTTGTCGGCAGTCTCGCTCCCTCTCTCTCTCTCTCTCTTTCTGTCTCACACACACACACACAGACACACACATTCTTGTCAACATACAAACCACATATTACACACGAACACATGCAATTAACTGTCCGACATAGAAAAGGAGAAATCCCTCCCATTTCTCATCATTTTTGATGGACAACAGCAAACACCATCCAGGCACACAGACACACACAAACATAGGCATGCAGCCACTCAAACACGCAATCAATCGGAACATCTGTAAAAAACAGCAAGCATCACTTGTGCAGCATTGCTAGAGGACGTTTTTCAGAGAGCAATTGAAAGCAGAGAGAGAGAGAGAAAAACGGGACACACAAATGTTCATACAGCAAAACATAGAGCGGCTGCTCTGCTCAACACCGGGCTGTGCAGCAGCAGCAGTCCGTCTTTGCACATGCATCACACACACATACTCACACACACACACACACACATACTCACACACACAAACACTCAGATTAAGGCACACTGTAACATCTTCATTGTCTGCAAGCATGCACTGCAACATCTGTCAATCTCTCTGATAGATCCTGCCCTGCCATCCATGATATGCACATGCACGCATCCCTCTCTCCGCCCCCCATCTCCAGAGGCAACTGGAGGGAGAGAGGGAGAGAGCGGGTGGAGGGTAGGGGGGTATAAAAAGCCATGGCAGGTACCTGTAAATGAACCAGACGCTCCTATTCACAGGGCCGAGCGACGGCCAGGAAGAAGAGAGGGAGAGGGAGAGGGAGAGATCCTCCTCGCCGCATGCCCCCATCGCCATTGCCTCCCCTCCCTCTCCTCCTCCTCCTTCTCCTGCTCCTTCTCCTTCTCGTCTTCCAGTGAGACAGCAGCGAGCGCGAGCCGCGAGAGAGGAGGAGGACAGGAGGAAGAGGAGGAGAGAGAGATGGAAGAAGGGAAAGGGAGAGGGCCGAGCTCTTCCAACCTCTTCATACTTAAGACAGAGAGAGAGGAGGGATGGGAGAGAGAGGGAGATGGAGATGGTTCATTGTGACTGCGACACAGAGAGAGCAAGAGGGAGAGAGGAGAGGAGCAGGGGGAAAGGGAGGGGGAATAAGGTGGCTTAAGAAAAAGGAGAGAGAGAAATTAGGTAATTTGGAGAGAGTGAGAGGTGTTTGGGTTTGTACGCAGGGGGGGTTTGATGCACACACACACACACACACACACACACACACACACACACACACACACACACACACACACACACACACACACACACACACACACACACACACACACACACACACACACACACACACACACACACACACACACACACACACACACACACACACACACACACCCCTCCACTTCCTTTAAATGGATAGTATTCTCTCTTCCCATGTTTCCCTGTCATGATTTCCCATTCATAAAAACGGATGTGACTGAGATAAGATTTGTGGAATACAGTCCCATCTGATACAACATATTCAAAAGGTTTGATAGGAGGGTCTTGAAGTTTTAGAGGCTGCACAGGTATCATCACCCTCGTCACGTGACATATCGATACAGGACAAGTCAGACCTTTGCTACGTAATACTACACATCTTGTGCAGATCTTTCTGGAGCCTCTGCTGCTGTCCTCCCTCCACTGTAGCCGACCGCACGTGCCTTTAAAACACACTTAACTTACCTCACCCACCAACCTCTAACATGCACTCACACACACATGCACACACACATGCACACACACATGCACACACTACCCTCACATTTGATGTACACAAAGCATGAATGAGGGGGTACAGCAAGGAAAAGAGAGGGGGAGGAGGAGAGGCATCGACGCAGACAGGAAGAGAAGAGTGGACAGAGAAACAGCTGGCGGGTAAGTGGCGGAAGGAGGAAGAGGAGAAGGAGGAGGAAGAGGAGGAGGAAAGAGAGAGATAGACGCAGAGAGAGGGGGAGAGATAGAGAGAGGTACAATTTTCTGGAATAGGCACTCACATCATCTCTCAGAGCCTCGTTCCACGTATGTCGAAGCTGTCCTTGTTCTACTTGCCCTCCCTCCCTCCTTCCTATCCTCACTACGACTCCTGCTCTCTCCTTTGCCTCCCTCCTGCATTCGAGGACGATCACAGCCCCTTGTCCCCTCTCTGCTCACATCTCTGCCTTTTTGTTTCTCTCCCTGCATGTCGGGCTATACCGCTGTGATTCTGTGTAGAGTGTGTGTGTTTATGTGTTTATGTGTGCATGCATGGGTGATGGGGGGGAGAGAGAGAGAGAGAGAGAGCGAGAAAGAGAGGGGATAAAAGAAGGAGAAAGAGAGAGAGGGTCAAGAGAGAGCAAGAGTGGCAGAGATAGGGTGAATTAGAGGGAGAGGGAGGAGGAGAGAGATGGGGGAGGGAGCAGGAGTACCAACAAATGTTAACAGAAGGTCCACATGATTGTAGCTGCATGTCTGCCTGGGTGGTCCTGTGTGTGTGTGTGGATCTGTGTGTCCATCATACAACAGCAACACCGTTATTTTAGCCAAAAAGCCAAGGTGAAGTCATATATGGTGGTGAAATATGAAAAAACATATCGGACAACTTTATATTGCACAAGAAGCAATGCATATATCTAACAAGGCACAGACACCACCACCACAGCAGGGTACATCAGGGTGTTCTGCCTCCTGCTCCTAACTGTGTGTGCTCACTCGTCCTCATTTGACCCGCTGTTAGCAGAGTACTGGTCTCCTGCGGGCTGGGGAAGGAGCAGCTGCATGTAAAGATTGTGTACAGTTTGATCCGTGCAACTGCGGCAATGACAGAGATCTGAACCATCAGCTCAGAGCTCTCATCTCTTTTGAAATGAACAGCAGTGTTACAAGTCTTTTGTATGCCAGCAGATGCTGCTAAAACAGCAAAGGTAGAACAATCTGTGTACAGCCAAATGTTTACTGAACAACACAGATTTGTTAACAAATAACAAGGCTTGGGCGTGAAAGGAGGTTAGAGATTGGCAGATAAGACTCTCTTTATTAATGAGTATTAGAACAATAACTAGCTTCAGACCGAAGGCACTACTATGTTATTTTAGGATTGTTTCAGAACCATAAATGTCTGTTTAAAACCTGGCAGTAGCAATCCATCCGTTTTATCCGACATGGCCAAAGTGATGGACCAAACTGACATTCCAAACCTAAGAGGCATACCTTAATAATTGGCACCCTTGACCCTTTGAAGTCCATATTGGTCGTGGTTTGTTCTTTATAGTTTGAGTGAAAAAAGAACAAACACGGCGGAGGGCATTCTTCTTTAGACTTTCTTTCAAGCCGCTTTTGCCCCATGTTGCTTTCTCAAAAAACAATGCATTTGTCTCTTTTCACCCAATTGTAAACCTAGAATGTTCCTTCATCCAACCTCTTCATCCCTCTCCAACCCTCCTTTCCCTTGAGAGTGCCCTTCACCGTCTGACCTCCAGATGGAGACACCACAGGGGAGAGGGAGTGATGAAAAGAAAATTAAAAAGTACAGGGGGTTAGATATACAGTGATAAATAGAAAGCATGGGAGGGATGCAGAGATGGTCGGGAGAGGTGGCCAAATAAAGACAAATTAAAGAAAGGATAGATGAGATATTACATGTCATGATAAGGGCTGTGAAAGTAGGCGGTTCTGAGTCAGCCATGCCTGCCTGCCTGGCCAAACAAATAGTTTCTGCACAGTCTATGCTGCAGTACACAGCTTTAATTATCCATGATGTGTGTGTTTGCAAGTGTGCACAAACATATGTGTGTAAGTTTGCCTGGGTAAGTGCGTTAAATGTCACTGTTGATGAAAAGCGTGTTAATAATAAATGATACTGTGTGCATGTGAAAGAGAAAAACACAGTAACAGGCAAAACATGAGAAGCAAATAAAGCAGGCATGAAAGAGAAAGTTGAGGAATAACAAAGAATGATGATGAATGAAAAAGAGAGAAAGAGGGAGTCTGAAGGCGGGATGTCGTTTAAATAATTGATGTGATTGATAATGGATTTATTTCTATGTAAATAATTCTCTCTCTGTTCAGTCCAAGTCATGGACACTGGAATGAGTTTGCCTCGAAGCGACAAGGCGCTCGCCATGATGCAGATGCAAGGCATTGAAGGGAATGACATTATATTGGGGTGAGTTAATGAGGAGAAATCACACTCCCATAGTCAATACAGGACTCAGGCTCATGTGACAACAGACCAACTCCACAGAAGATCCAGAGAGGTTTCAGTTCTGACTCCATGATCAAAAAGCTGAATAGGAAGCAGTTTTCTGATCAAAACTGATGAAGCTGATCCGGAAGTAGCTTAGTATGTAGGGACTTGGCTTGAGAAGTGGAGAGTCACCGGTTCAAGTCCCAGAACGGACCAAGCAAAGAGAGTGGACCTTGAGAGTTTGCTCCCGCTACCCTTCAGCAGGGCTGGTGCCACTACAGGTATAGTATAATAATACTAAGATGGGTTAAATGCAGAGACTTCATTTCACTGTGCTGTGTACATGTACATTTGCAGGTGAATGGTGTGTGTGTTTCAGCACAAGAAGCATAATGACCTTCTTTTAAAAGTAAAGGTCTCAGCTGCGTTTGAAGTACTTTTATGGTTTAAAAATGGCACAGTATTACAGTACAATGCATCAGTTCAGATAGTAGGGCAGTAATGATGACTGGGTGATTGTATAACATCGGTCAACACTTATATTTCAGACTTAGTCATCATAGTGGTCTGAAACCACCTTCATCATTGCCAAAAGGTTCAGACCACATAAAAACTGCAGCCTGGCAACACTGCATGCATAGCACCCTGAGCCAAAAGGCAGACAAACTAAAGGAAAGTTACTCTTAAAACCCAATACGAAGAAATCAGCCCAGTCTGATGTTAAATGTTAAACTGTTAAACTCAGCAGAACACACTAGTCAAAACAGAGCTGGATAACCTGTGCCTGGAGGATGACTTCAGTATGAAAAGCAGGCGGGTCAGCATTTAGACCTGAGGCAGTGAACCCTCACACATCTTCATCCTACTGCATGAATTACTCACAACACATCATAATAAACTAATCAAAGCGCCACTGGAACAAATGAATCACTACATGAATCATCTGGAGGGATGAATACAGTATGTTACTGTAACAACAACTCCCTGTCTCAACATGTGCTGTGTGTCAAACATTGCAGCAGCTGTGTGTCATAATGAAAGGATGTCAGTTTGACTAGTATCCCCCAATGGGCGGATGGACAAGTTACATCATGCACTTAAGCAAAGAGCTGAACCCCTTCTTGGCTCAGTACTGTTCTGTGGACAATGGAAGCAAACATTGCAATAATCTGAATGTCAAGCTGCTCTTTTCTTAACCTTTATTTAACTAGAATATGTCAGAGTCATAATGTGACCCTTTCATGCTTCGTTCTGGTCCTCATATCACACTCAATAGGCATCGAAGCATCCAAAAGCCTTTTTGCTCAGCCCTATTGGCCCAAATTGTGTCCAGCTCACATACCCTTCTGTTAGGTGAAGTACCACTCTGTGGGAACTTACACTTGATGAACCCTTACCCCTAGCCCTGTGAGCTTAAGCAAGACCCTTAATCATCTTTGCCCCTTCGCTTAGAGAATAATGTGCAGGTTGCTTCTGCTTTGGAAAAAACTGGCACTCATTCAGTTTGCTGTACATCCGTGATGGCTGGCGGCAAGGTAACTCTTACCTGGGAGCATCAAAGCTGTCATAGGATCCCACCGTGTAATGACGGAACAGCCTTTTGGCCCGCTCTCCACGACTCTCTAAACAGAAAATCACATGGACATCAGCATGATCGACCTGCATTAGGTCCATTTGAAAGACTAATTATGCAGCAGGTACTTTTCAGTCACTGTATTACTATAATATTACTGCCATCACAGGATAATCTCTCTTTTTAACAGATAGTTTTTCACCGTTACAAGAAATGTGGTCTTCTGATTCAAATCAACTTAAACTAGATCTGCACATTTAACCTAACGAGGATTATGTTGAATATATTCCATGTGCGGTATGCCATTTCAAGTTAAGTTAAGGCATTTTGATTATTTTTTAATTTGCCCTTTTCACTTTAGTTAGAGAGAGTATACATGAAGCTAAAACCAGCCATCAGTTAGCTTAGCTTAGCATAAATAATAGAAACATGGGTAACATAGCTAGCTGGTGGTAACTGACTAAATCCGCCTTCCCTGCACCTCTCCAATATACATTGTCTCATCAAAACTAGCATGTCTAACCATTGTCAGGCCTTTGTGAAAGGCTAAATTAAAGTTTATATGAGGTTAAATATGAAATTTGTGGCTAAAGTTTTTTTTTTATTCATTGAAATGATGCTATGTGTTATGATGAGCCTGTGTCTGTGAGTGTGTGTGACTACTAGTGATCACCTGATCGGTTGTCTTGGCTTCGAAGCATCACTTCCTCCACACAGTCAGAGGGGAACCAGCCTGTGCGCCCCCTGACTGTCCCCTCCCAGTACCCGCCCTCGCCAACACTCAACACTAGAGAGGTGGGCATGAAAGAGAAGCATGTCAGGAAAAGGCAACACCACATGCACCAACACACACACCAAGACACTAATTAAAAATGAACACACTCAAAAAGACAATATTGTACAGACAAAAAAGAAATTATGTATACACACATGGACATGCAAACCTACATACTCACCAAGACATACATACCTGGCGACACCATAGACTCACTCACAAACACACACATATTCATACCTGTAGATATTGAATACAAACATATATAGAGACCTTACACTTATGTTAAGACAAGGCCATTTTATAAACTCATTCCAAGACACTAAGATCTGGTCTGGCTGAGAATGATAGATCTCCTTAACAAGCATCTCCTGTCAGGCTTGTGTAATATTTGTATAAGTAATAAGCTTGGCATTGTTTATCAAAGCTAGTCAACTTAATGTTCTCTCAAGTGATCCTTGAAGTAATAGTTTGACATTTTGGAAAAAATATATATATTAACTTTGTTGCTGGGAGAGAGATGAGAAGATTTATATAAAGTTATAGCTAGAACTGTCCTAAACGGTTGAATGTTACTTCTGTTATCAGAAATGTCGTCATATAATTTGCAGCCAGAAGCAAAATACAAAGAAGTTTTAAAGGTTCAGTTGGTAAATATTGATCAAAATAACATATTTTTCCCATTTGAAATTACATTTTTATTAAACTGTCACTTTTTCTTTTAACCATTATACCAGCTGTGTTTGTTTTTGATGATCATTTTAACTATGGTGGATATTTGCCAGTCTACAGTAGTATTAGCTAATGTCAGGTAGATAAAGTACCTGTTCTTGTAATGCAGCATATTGCTTTGTGTCCAACATAAATAAATGGTGTTAGCTTAAAAGCTGCTAATTAAATCTTAACTCAATTTGTTAAACCCCTACAGTCAGCAGTTTAGATGTTATAAGGAACTATTTGGAGCGATGCCAAAGCGCTAAACAGAGAGGTATCTTCTACTTTACGATATTTTAAAAAGATTCTGTAATGTTGCTTTGCATGTTTCTGAACCTGCCTTCAGTTAACTTTTACATTTGAAGTGTTGTCTAAATGTGTCTAAATGTCTAAATCCGGTGCAAACAGAATCACAAACACTGAGACAAACACTTTGAATATACATGGAGGACAAAATGCACTATTATGCTCCAGCACACGCACACATATACACACTGTGTTTCTTGATATGAAAATGAACATAGTCACCTTTGACCCTTTCACCCTTATTAAAGCTGATTTCCCGCTCTCCCTGGGCAGAATGTGATCGAGTAGCTACAAAGACTCGGCCTGGGACAGCGCTGTAAAGGCGTCTCCGCTGGCCTGCGGTCTGTGCAGCCGTGGTGGCAGGGGCAGGCCTGGATGGGAGGAGCAGAAGTTCAGAACGAAGTTTAAAACTTGAAGTTCCCTATAGGTATGGGTGACTTAATGACTATGTTCAACTGGTTACTTCAGATTGAATTTGAAGGATGTTTAGGACTGTATGAGACAATGTGTCTACTTTTGCTATTAAGTCAAATTGTATTGGTTTAATTTATGACAATTTTAAGGTGTGTACACTCATTTGACATAATTTGCATTCTCCTTATAAGAAGTTGTAAAATAACTTATTAAAAGTCAGACAGAAACCTTTTTTATTTATTATTGCTTATTCCTGGATTTAATAATCCGAGTACCCTAACCAATCCTACAAAACAACTCATTGAGGAATTACCTCTCTCACGATAACAAAAATAGAAACTATATTTAAGACCTGAAAAAAGAAACATTGACTTTTACTTTTACAACCCTTTAATGACTTAGGTAGTAATTACATCGAAAACATTTTAAGGACTCTTATGGGACCTGCAGACTCAATAATACTTTAACCAGCCTAGCTTAAAGACAAGTTCCTGTTCAGCAGCATCTTGTGGTCAGATGCCAGCTGTTTGCCCCTCACCCCTGTCTCCGACTCTGCCTGCTCCGGTCCTCCTTGTCTCCGATTCTTCCTCGGGACGGGGAGCGCGTCCTCGCCCCTCTGGGACTGCTGGAGCTCCGCAGGGTTCCTGTATGCTTATAGCCCTGACAGAGACAGACAAACAAAGAAAGGGGGAGAAAACATATTTCTTTAAAGATGTTTATATGTAACAATATATTATTTCAATGTAGCTACGTATATTCTGTGATTTCACTTACTTTGCTTTAAAAAGCTCAAAATGTTTTCAAAAACAACATTCATAAAATGATTAATACTTTATTTGTAATGCATGTACAAACATTCATATGGCCTATCACACAACATGGCCACTTGCCCAGACTAAAGTAGAGGACCATTGCACTGTTGAGGAACCTGCCATCTAAGTTGTTCCTACATTACATGATGATTACAATTTTGTATTTGTTATGATAATAAACCTTGAATCTATGAACCTACATGTATGTATAGCTCAATCGAGTAAGCAGGATATATAAGCTGTAGTGAGAACTGTTCACCACTAGAGGTAGATAAAGGTTATGCATTATATTGTAAAAGTCCCCTTCAAATTGTATGATTTGCATATTAATCACAGGGATGAAATCGCTCAAGCTTCCATCTGTGCATTGTAAATATCCATGATATGTGCATTAATCATTTCTCCAAACTCAGAGGTAAAAGGTCAATCGTACTGAAATACAAGTTAGTAAAATACATTCAATACCTTCCTAGATAACTTCTGAAGGAGAAAATACAATCCAGGAGTGTCATTTTGCAATAATCAGTGACGTGTGTGTTCATTGGGGATTAACTAAACATGTCAAATGCTCCAAAACCTAGACCTCAAGGTAGGGTTGTTTTGACAACTTCTGTTTCCACTGCCAATTATCACTTTAAACGTCAATTTTAAGTGAACATGGATGAGAAGTTTTAGAGATCTTATGATCTTTGAAAATGTTCTTTATCATCGAAAATGTCATGGTGTCAGAAAAAGACTATAAATGAACATGACAGTAAACAACACACATGTGGGAGCCAGTTATCAGGGCCATCTGTTGTTAAGATCAAAGCTCAAGAAGCTACTAAATAGACTTAGGGGTGAGAGCTGTTTTCAATGTTCCCACCCACACACACACACACACACACACACACACACACACACACACACACACACACACACACACACACACACACACACACACACACACACACACACACACACACACACACACACACACACACACACACACACACACACACACATACCTGCACAGAGACAATATTGGTCCCTGGGGCATTGGGCACTGCCATCCAGTCTGGGAGGTTCATACTGCTGTCACTGTTTGCTCGGAGGAAGGGGTGAGGGTGGGGTATCGTCAGGGTACGGGTGCTCTCTCGCCTCTGCGGGGCGTACTTTGGAGATTCCACAAAGGGAACTGGGAGGGGAGACAGGAAATAGTGAAAGAAAAAGGTAATATCACATTTTTACTGCTCTTATTTTGCACAACCTCCCCATCCAGAGTGTACGTACTCTGATGGGTGCTGTAAATGCTGCTCCTGTACATTCGTTATGTCATATTTATATGCAGCTCCCCTATACTTGTTAATTGAACCTCTGAATCCCCCGTGATGATCAAATGTTCAATGTTAGATAAAACAAAATGTCATTACGCAACGTTACACATCCCAAAACTGGCATGCAAAATGAAGCCTGACCTTAGCTACTTACCCACATCTGTGTCCCGGTGGTTTTTGATGATTTCTCCCAGCTCAAAATTGCCTGACATAACAGCCACCTGGCACACAAACACACACACATTTACAACTTCTTGTAAAATACACTCTTATGGCAAATGCATGCACAAAATAAAATGGTGTAACAGACCCTTTACTCGTTTAACCCCATTTTGTGTCCACTCTACTTGTACCTCTAATGGGCTAATTTACAAATTATGTAACAGATTTATGGACGTGGCATATTTCAACAATATTCACATGGATTTGCTGTTTTCTTGATAAGAAAAGGAACAGCAAAAATAAGTACATCCATGCGAGACCATGTTTGTGTTCTTTCCACCATTGCACAATTTTGCAATGGTGCAAGCTACAAAGGCCAGCACAAAGTCTGACAAACTGGTGTTTTCTCCCTGTTGTCTCGTCACGTTTCCTCTCTTTCATGCACGTAAACACAACAGATTGTCTCAGCTGGCTTGTTCTGCATCGACAGAGTTAATATATCCAGATTAAGGGGTCACACGCATTCCTGCCACCTGGGATCTCCGTGTGCATCGCAGCACACTAATGGTTTAAAGTGAAATTAGGCCCTGGCATTTTCTGCTACGCTAACTTAATAAGACACTAAACCATAACACCACCCAACATGCATAATTACTCAGCCAGGCGTACAGCCATTACCTGAAAAGCGGTCTGCCCACTATTGTTCTTTGTGTCCTTATTTGCTCCCCTGTAGAGCAGAATTCGCGAACAGCTTTCCTGCAACAAACATCACTGATTAGGCAAGGCAAGGCAAGTTTATTTATATAGCACTTTTCTGTACGCGACAATTCAAAGTGCTTTACAAAACAAATTAAAATACTTTTTATGAATAAATACAGTAAAAACACATTATATAATGGCATTTTACAACAGGCATTACAAAGCAAAGATAATAAAATAATTAAAATAAACACCACAGGTATACAATACATGTTTAAATTAGTGTACATGAATTGTAGAATTGCTGTTTAATGTTGAAATGCACCTTTTCTGTTGTAAGCATTAGCTTAATAAAGCAAAGTATTACCTTCTATTGACATTTTGTACTATTGTTCTATTATGTTAGCTACAACTCAAAACTGATTTTTAAGCAAGGTATACCATAACATTCAAATAAAATATACAGGTATACAAGTGTTCTATTTTTGATTAAATAGCAAAGATAAAGAGCATTTATGTTGCATTCACCTTGTTATACTGTATCTTTAAATGTTTTGATACTAACATTTTCTTTACTGTGTAGCTGACATTTGATCCCCGTTAAAAGAAAATGTGTCTACCTTGTTGTATAAAGCACAGATGTGCAAGGCAGTGTTTCCAGAGGCATTCTGGGAGGAAGAATCTGCCCCATAGAAGAGGAGGTGCTCCAGATGCTGCGAGTTACCATTTTGACAGGCCTGACAGAACATGAACAGATTGTGGAGGAGTCATGGTAAGACAGGAGAGAGAGGACAGGAAGAGGTGGAAGGACAAAGAGTTTGTAAGGAAAGTAAGAAAATGTACCAAAGAGTAAAACAGGAAGGATTTATAAGGTTACGTTTGATAGAGATAACAGAAAGGCAGAGAAGCAAACAATGATGAAGAACACACAGTGACAAAGGGACAGGAACAGGGTGACATGGATCAAGTGACACAACATTTAATTAACACCTACTGTAACTCAGAGGGCGTGAAAACACAGAGGGAACACAAGTGAGATCTAATCAAAATAATCATTGTAGAATACTTATCATACAGTATGGTTACACAAATCCAGCCCATCATATAAGGGAAATCAAAACAGATAATTGTATATCACTTAGTCATAGGCAATTGATGGTGTTATCAATTATGCCATTGCATAATAAATGCTTATTTCACACTTACACTTACAACCTTTTTGAAGTCAATGCCTTAACAATATAATTTTGCGGAGAACAGATATTAAACTACAAGTTATCATGGCAACACTGCTTCATACTATACAATACCAGTTAACTTGGTTTGAAAATGAGTCTTGATTAAATTAAATTAATAATAATTGTACACAGTGGTAAAGGAATAGGAGAGGGAAACAGTATAGTGGGATTGATGAGAAAACGTTTTAATTTGAAAAATGAAATGTTGATACCATGTTAATAATAAACATATATTAACATTGTATAAAGAATCCAGCATCTCTTAAATTATTTAGTAATTGCTTAATTGAAGCCAACAACACAGATGTCTAAAGATAATTAAATAATAGTGTTACTTTTTTATTATTTCGCCCATGATGATCGTGTAGTGAAAATATGGCAGCAGTATACAGCAGTAGTATAAGGGCAACAAATATATTTATTTTTAACCTACACCTCAACCATACATGTTTCTTTGCAAAGGTAAGTGCAGTAACACTTACATAGCCTATAGAAGATGCTGATACCTTTATTTTCTGTCCACTTCACTGCTGGAAAATGTTGCCACAGAAGCTTTGTGGATGGGATGAAGGGTGAAAGGTGTCCGAGATAAAAGATGGGTGGAGTTTCATGGCATGAATGGTTTTTGACCCAGACACAGACGCTGTACATACGGAGACACTGGAACATAGAGTACACTGGTACATTACAACAAGGATGCATGCCCACTAATACATACAACAGAATTTAAAATCCCAAATTAAAAAAAAGACACAAATTAGAACACTGACCCCACTGGATAAAAAAAACACGAAGCATCCTCTGCTGTTGATTAGGAGTAGTTTAACCGGACAGTACCTGATGTGTCTCGTCCCAGCCGTTCTCGTCCCTGATGCCCAGTTTGGCGTGGTGGTAGAGCAGTGTTTCACAGCAGGAGGTGTCCCCCCCCGTCAGCACAGTGTGATAGAGCGGTGTCAGCCCTCGCCGGTCCTTATAGTCTGCAGACGCACCCAGGGACAGCAGGACCTGCAGAGAGACAGGGAAGATAATAATGCAGTGAAAAATCAGTTACTTTCTATTTCAATTCAAATAAATTACTTGTATGTGCTAATATTATATCAAAATAAAAAAGGCAGCAAGGAAAATATCATAAGTAGATGACCATTACATGTATGTATGATCTGTATGTGTAATGTGTATTTGTAAAGCGCTTTGAGATTCATTGATAAAGCGCTATAATAAATATAAGGATTATTATATAAGGTGATTTCCAACTTCCATTCGAGGAATATTCATGGGATTTTATAGAAGGATGCGAACACATAGTCAGGGATTCACAGAGGTCATTCAGTGCCTTGGGCTAGAGAGAATGATGTATTCAATCAGAGTCTGCAGTTTATTTATGCAGCTGTTTCTTTCCTTTGTGAAAAACGTTTTCTCTGACAATGTTCCACATGCAATTACTACCCCCGAAATGATTTTGATCCCTCTTCACATGCCTTACTTCTCGAAGGTGTGGGAGCATAAGTTCTGGACAAATGCCTTAAATACACACTTTTAATCCAGGCAATCTGAATTTAAATGTTTTTTTTCCCTCTCTGGATGAATAGAATAATAATGTGTTTTTGTTCTTGTTCTTTGTGTGTGGGTGAGTGTTTATTGTTGCGTGGGAATGTCTGCTTAATCGGTCTTTAGCCCATTTGCTTACAGAGCAACACAAATGAAGATAGTGTTCGTTTCAGTGCAAGTACCCGAGTGTAGGTTTGATTTTCTTTTTTTTTAATGGCATGACAATGAAAAGACATTACTCGTAATTAGATAACAGCATATCTAAAAAAAAAAAGGATCAAATGTGAGTCCATGTTTACCAGCAGGGCTGTATGGCGGTGGCCTCGCACAGCTTTGTGTAAGGGTGTGAGTCCATCTTTGGCACGGAAGTCAATGTGAGCCCCCCCCTCCACCAGGACCCGGATGGACTCCCCTCCACCCGGCTCACACTGCACCGCCAGGGACAGAGCCGTCTCTGGGGGACACACACACACAGAGATTCAAGAGTTTTTCATTACCACAAAAGGATTGGTTTGAAAGTCAAATTATTTGGAGGGCACTGTCCAGATTGTTTGCTCCTAGGGGTCCGCTTGAAAACAATACATTTTAACACCTGCACCATTCTCCTTGTAGGTTAGACAAAAAACATATTAACAAATATTGAACTCCAAAAAAATAATGGCCTGTCCACCTCTTCTGAAACTGTGTTTATGTTGCCCCAATGGTTTCTTGCTTCAAACTACCCTGTGGAGTTGTAGGTGGGGGTCCCTCATTAAAATAAAAGCAGCATTTGTGCCTTTTTGATTCCCTTAAATTGAGAAAACATTATAAATTGCCCTCCAAGGTGTTACAGACAGCTTGCATCAACAAATTATATTATAAATTATTTCCAGGTCACCACAAACCCTGAAAGAATCCAGCGCTTTAAAGTTTCCCGCATATGTTCGAATTAACTTCTGATTAAATGTAATATAAAATAAAAGCTCTTCTGATAATTACCTCTCCAGATTGGTTTCATCCTACAGGTAGCAACATTAGCTTTAAAGTCAATATCAAAGCATGTATTCTTCTTACTGATGCCTGCTACATCATACTTTGCCAATTATGCTAACATGAAATGGAGCTCCAAAGATTTCAAAACAAAGCAGTGCAGTGTCACAACACTTTAACTTAACTTAACATACTTCAATTTCTTCAGGAAGAAGGTACAATGGACCCTATAAGAATAAAAGCAATCAAAGTGTTCCCACAACAACAACAAAAAGGGTACAGAGCATTGGCTGCCAGGCAACACAAGAGTTTTGGCAAAGAGGACAACGACTGAGCGCTTTTATCCTCAAACTGATTCTGGAGAGCTCAGGTACAAATCATTTGGGGCGAATGTTTTGACGGCATGTCCTCTTAAGTTAACATGTTGGGACGGCTGCCCACTAAACAGTTCCTCTGGCAGAGATGGACCTGAGCCATGCTGAACGTGGTCAAATCATGTAATGTCCTATTAAAGGAACTCTGTGTGAGCCTTCTGTTGGGTGGTAAAACATGAAGAAAATGTTTCAGAGACAGGCAGGTCACATGTAAAAAAATGCTTTTGATCGTCTCTTTGCCAATCCAAAGCCTAATGCCATAGACCTAATAGTTAATGGACACTTTGATTCAAACTGAAAGTCAAGAAAGAAGAAGATTCCACTTGAAATCATGAAGAAGAACATTTCAACATTTAGATTTGGGTTGAACACGTGGATTTAGTGAGTTTTATAGCAAACCTTCACTGTTCTAAGGCAAGGTCATTGTAGTAAAAACGTTAATATAACTTCATTCATTAATTCGGTAACACTTTATATTAAGGTACACAAATTAACCATCAACTAGTTGTTAATTAACTAGACCATAATTGTTAAGTGTTATTATGGGAGAATTACTATTCTTGTGGTACTACTGCCTTATTAGGCCCATATTGAGCAGAGCATAATAAGACCAAAACTCATGTACAACAACTTCCTTACTTGCAATAAATAAGCACTAATTAGAGCAGTGGTTCCCAACCTGGGGATTCTTTCTTTAATAGAAATGTTTCTTCTGCCCGTAAAGTGTCCAAACCAGGCTTTTCTGGATAAGCGCATTTTTAAAACATAGTCATTGTCCATGCCGGTTTCAGATTATTTGTCACAGTTGCTCCGATCAGATAGGTCTCCTCCATTTTGTAGATTATTTACGACTTTTGAATCCACATAAACACATCGGCAAAATCCGGCTTACTTTGAGCATGTGTTTTAAACAGTTTGCGCCGTCCTTTAATTTCTTCATACAGCGGGAATCCAAATGAATTAATCCTGAGTCCAATAACCATCAAAGTCACTCCAATAGTGCTCCTTAATTACGCTTTCATCCTCCTTTAACAAAATACTTCACATTCATCCAGTTTGTGACAGTAGTTGTAGCATTTTTGAGACTTTGAAACTTTAATTACCGCTGTTGCTCCCCCCCCCCCCCCCCCTTGTGTGTGTGTGTGCAACTTCCAACAGGAGTCATTTGGGGGGGCTCTTGGGAAAAAAGGTTGGGAACCCCTGAATTAGAGGGTTATTGAGGAAAAACTCTCAACTAATGGTCTACTACTTGTAGAATACGATCATGTAGAATAAGGCATTAATAAGTGTTTTATGATGACTAATAAAGAGCCAATATACTGCTAATATGCATGTTAATTAGTTGATGGTTAATTTGTGTACCTTAATATAAAGTGTTACCATTAATTCTGTTACAGTTACCCTTGGCTCTGTCAATTATGGATGGTATCGTTCAAATGTAGCATAGAAAAGCATAGAAACAAAAATGTAACCCTAATGTCCAGTTTAGCAATATCCCATTTGAATGTAAGGTGTGTGGGTCTGATGATGTCGAGGATGTGTGGGTCTGATGATGTCGAGGATGTGATGTGAGTATGTTATTGAGGGGGCTTCATCAGGGTTGTCGATTGCCCCCTGGTGTTCTGAAGTGGAAATGTGTTTCACACCCATGATGACAGCCTGTGTTTGTGTTGTGACACTTTGCTCCCACAGCTGCTGGAATGACACAGCAGAGCACACCCAAACTGTAAAAGAGCAGTCTGCTGCGCCCCCCCAAGCACTAACGGGATCTGAGAAAAGACACACAATTGTGAACAACACTGGCCCAGATCCTTGACAAAGTGTTAGGCCAACAAAGAGAGCTTAGCGCAGAAACACCGGAGGGGGGAGATGGGCAGAGCTCCAGGTCAAAAAGCTGCTAATATATCTGAGAGAAAATGATTAACCAATAATGGATGTTAAACCTGAGATACACGTTTATATGTTTGATGGAAAGAAAGAACAGTTCAGTAAATATAGAGAGACACATAAGGGATTAGATTTTGCAATATAATTGTGTTAGATATGTACAGTTTATATGGCTCTCTTTCTCTTTCTAATTTATTTCTCAAGCACATACATCTGCAGTCTGTAATTGCTGTGAATGTATGATAATAGATAACATGATGACGCTGTGGATGAAACAAATCCTCCTTACCGCCGGTGTCAGGGTCCTGATAGTTGGGATCGAGGCCTTTGTCTAAGAACTTCGTCATCTTGTCCACAGCGCTGGTTTGGATATAATCCATGAATTTCTTCAGACTAGCCTGCATGCAGAGAGAGTCTTTTACATATTGTTAATGCAGTGACATGCATACTGTATAGTATTGATTTAAAACATGCAGCTGAAACCCTTCAGGGATTTACCCTCGGGGCATTTCATACATGGGTCTCATACCTTGGTGTGCAGTTTGGCTAGTTGCTTCTCATCCAGATTGGTCTGTTTGTACACCCTGGTCTTGTATCGAAACTAAACACAAGAGAGAAGAAGAAAAGTGAAGCCTTACTCCGAGGGCGTTTGTCCTTAATTCTCTTAGCTTTTGGCCTAGATTTACTAAATGGGTCTGCAGATTTATTATAGAGCAAAGCCTTTTCTGCTTTGCTATACATAACATGTCACAAGGAGCATTTACAGTAGGTGTAGTTCATCTGGAATCTTGACGTAAAATAGAAAAAGCTGTACAGTAAACATGGTCCCAAGTATTCCTTTACAAAAGTATTTTCTGGATTTGTATTGCTCCTTCCAACGACACCATAATCATTTAAAAGAAAGTTGTCATTTATCTGACATGTATCTAAACTTTTTAAGATTACATTACATTTGATTCAGATTTAGATCGTTATTGAAAGACAGTGACATCCTGAGGACATGCAAGCTACACCTCTTCTCTATTGTGTAATAATGTGTCAATGGAGGACTGGAATGTTACCTCTAAATATGGTACCCCTTTTTCAAAGGACTGTGGGTACTCTCTGAGCAGCCTCTCCTCCTCCAGGAATTTGGCATCATGACCATCAGTGGCGGGCTGGAACAGACCATAGTTCAGGACGTCCCGCAGAGATTCGGTCAGGGAGCACAGCACCTGCTGCTTGGCCTTCCACACCGTGGCCTCTGGGTTAAAGCGCAAACATTTCTGCAGGAGAGACAGAGGGAGACGTAGGTCAGCTTTAAGTTTGAATTTACATTGGTTATTTGGTCAACTCTAAATGTAAAGACATAACAATGATTTCATTAATCAACATCTTACCATGTGATGTGACCATGTGACCAATATGAAAGATATTGTGGTTAACATGAGATTAACATTTCATTTGACAGCATTGAACAAGGTTACAAATATAAAGGGCAGAAAAAGGGAAGTCAATGACGAGTTATTAATAGTCACTTTAAAAGTGAGTGAGTGAAACCGAGTTTTAAGAACTATTTCCCTTGGCTGCAATCTGCCTCATACGGGTGAAATGATCTGTAATGTTTTGGTGGCCAAACCATCTGTGCTTTGAAAAATGAACTGTTACTAATGCAAAGATGCTAAAATTAGGATGTTTTGAATTAACTGTTGCAGAATGAACCACATTTCACGAACTAGAGCCGGCACTTTGGTGCAAAGGGAAATAAAGCTTATTATTTGTCTTAAAGTAGTTCTTTCTTCAATATTTGGCTTGAATAACTTTACAGAAAACACTGCCTAAATGGGGCTCCTCAGTTGTTTTTCAAAAACACGACTTTGTATAATGTTTATGTTTAAAACTCTACCTTGACAAACTACAATGGCAAAATTCATTGATCAGTTTATCTACGTTTTAATCTCGTTACCCCTAAAACTCATTAAGGTCCCCTTGTAGATGTCACTACTGTGTACAAGACAATCTTGTGGCAGGGGATGCTCCAGCCTGACTGCAGCACACTGAGGCTGTTCCCCCGGTGACCCAGCAGGGGGAGACAGGCCCAGAGTGAAGTGGGTGATTCCCAGTGACCTCGGTCAACAGAGAGGACATGAATTGCAGTTTTGTGCAGCTTTAGTGTCTCCGGTGGGGTCGTGAATGGCCAAATGCATAACAGCTTAGACTAGGCTCAGTCAGCAAAGTGGGACGTAACTCACTACACAGATGGCTGACAGAAGGTTTTTGGCACCGCTCTCTCTCCTTCTTTCTCTCCATCGCTCGCTCCCTCTCCTTGCCCAGAGTGAAGTCTCTGACCTTGAGGCTACAGCAGGATGATTGGCCCATGCATGCAGAGTACAGATGCAAGGATCCCTGCCTCCTACTGCATCGCTGCATTGGCTCTCTTCTCAGCCAGACATACAGCTTCTAACCCAGAGCGTTCTCTCAGTAACTGTCACTCATCTTAATCTCTCACATAGCCAACAAACGTGTGTGTGTGTGTGTGTGTGTGTGTGTGTGTGTGTGTGTGTGTGTGTGTGTGTGTGTGTGTGTGTGTGTGTGTGTGTGTGTGTGTGTGTGTGTGTGTGTGGCTGTCCTTTCCTCTGCATAAGGTTTTTTTTTTTAACAGAGAGTAGAAGTAATATTACATTTTCTCCCTCTATTTTATTCAGTAACTCCGTTCTCGCACAGCCAACCTTGTAGCCACGGCAACCGGTTCATTAGTGGAGCAAGCTGCTTGTTGCCATAGAGACATCACTGTGTTCCCTTGGAGATGGGGTACTGGGAGGCTGTGCATGTGTTTGTGTGTGTGCATTAGCGTGGATAGATGTGTGTGTGTGCGTGTGCGTGTGCGTGTGCGTGCGTGTGTGTGTGTGTGTGTGTGTGTGTGTATGAGCGGGAAAGAGGATAAAAGGGTGTGTCTACTTTTATATTAGATTCGTTTTTCACACACACCACAATCCTACCCACTGCAATTACAGTCCCAAACAAGGATGCCAGCTAGAATAAATGATAAATGACAATAAGGATTATGATTCAGTTATTGTGCAGGAGTAATATTCCCATAGTTAACTTGAACAATAAAAAGCAATGACAATTATAATAGAACAATGGAGATTAAATTATGTGTTATAGCTTTGCTTTGAACCTAAAAACCTTCAGATAGTTGCAGATTTCACTGAGGCAGCCACGCTGCTTATTGATCTGTATGCTTCCAAGAATGTTATTGATTGTACAGTTTCTAACCGGCCAGCTAATTAAGGCTCATCACAATTTCCTCATTCCTACAAGGCATTCAAAATGCAGCTTCGAATTGTAAAGAGTTTTCCAACTGTTTCGCTGTACTGTTAGAAATGCAATAGTACAGCCTGTAAATTGTACTTTTATTATATTGCAATACATTTCATAGCTACTATGGTCATAGTTAACTTGTTCTAAACCTCAAAAGGTGCACTTGCAGTTGAGTGTTTGTGGCGCCCTCTAGTGGTGAGAGAGACTAAATGGATGCTGGAGTTGTTAGTTTGTAAAAGGGATTTGAAGATATATTGTCTTGGTGTCAGATTATGAAAAGGAAAAATGCCAAGATGCTGTTCTTCATTTGTACTTGTTCATGCTAGCATTCTGGATAATTAGAGCTCAATATGATTACAAAAAAACAGGTTCTGTCAGCTAGTAAAAAAAAAAAAAAAGATTTGTTACCAATAGTACCAATGAAAATGTTAAAATACTCAGTCATACATTCAAAATCTAACCATGTCCATAGACAATGAATGGGGACTGATTGTTTGGACCCAGAGAATGTTTTTTTTTTCAATTTTAATGAGCCCTTTTGTAGTGTTCCCGATTCTGAAAAAAACAATGTACCCGTGTACTCAGAGCATTCCCCTGGGTGCTTTCAGTGTCACATCTTTCCACATTAGATTAGATTAGATTGACTTTATTGCCCACCTCAGTGAAAGTGTAACTCTGTTGTGTAATGTGTAATACAATACAGATAACACAACACACCATTTAGAAATACATTAATTGTCAATAGAATGTTCGTGTTTTGAGTGGAAAACGTTTACTGTGGTATCATTTCTTTGCAACTATGTAAAATATCTTCTTCCACTTCATGCGCAAAAATGAACAAGGATACTGTGAAAACACAAAGATAACTGGGATGCTTGTCATCTATTACTGCCCTAAATGTTACAATTTATTTATTTTTTGCAAGACAAAAGACAAAACATTAATAGAACAAGCCAAAAAAAACTGTAGCACATGAAACTAGTCATTGAGGTGATGTTGTGTGCTTTCTTTATTTGATGTTGTATATGTGAAGTCTTTAGGGCTATTGGGTGAAAGTGGTGGAGGTGTGGGGAAGTACAGTACAGACAAGAAACATATGAACACATGTATGCTAATATGAATATGTCAATAAGTCACAGCTTTTATATAACTTACCACCTTGATATGTTTTTACATTAAAATCTTAACGCAGCTTTCAGCCCTTCTGTTTCTCTCCTGTTTTTCTTTCATTATGCGGACCAAAAATTCGGTCTTGTCTCCTGAAGCTGTGATCACACTTTCCCACTCACATGCGCCCACTCTCTCTGTCCATGCTGCTCTTTATCTTCCTCTGCCTATCTCTATCTTATTCTCCCTGCACTTTCCTCTCTCTCCATCTTTCTGCATCAGCTCTGTCTATCTATGCAGAAACAAAGAGATCTCGCGAGAGAAAGAGGAGCATATGGAGAGAGCAGAGAGGAGAAAGGAAGAAGAGTAGAGAGATATCAGGACTAGAGAGAGAAGAGAGAGAGAGCAGAAGACGGAGAGAGAGAGGCTGCGATAGAGAGATGAGAGAGAAGAGTAGAGAGAGATCCATGTAGAGAAGGAGAGGAGGAAGAGAGCCTATTATCCTATAGCTTAGATTCTCTCATATCGCTATCATCTTATATGACTCATCTCCTATCGTCTATCTCTCTCTCTCTCTCTCTCTCTCTCTCTCTCTCTCTCTCTCTCTCTCTCTCTCTCTCTCTCTCTCTCTCTGTCCCTGTGGCCTTTTCCTGCAGGCCAAGTGCAGGGGGACTTGAAGCCTTTAATGAGATCTATGGGGAAATAAGCCCCCACTTGACACACATACACACTAACATGCACACACGTCAGCCATGTCACCATTTCATTCAACTTCCTCCCCATATCTCACTATCCTTCTCGCACTCCCTGTTCTCTACAGCAGTTCAAGAGAGCAAATGATTTTCTTAAAGCACTTCTGTCCTACCGCTCTGCCTGCCGTGCTTCTCTCTATTCTCTTTTCTTCTCTCACCCATGCTGCACTCCCTCCTCTCTAACTCCTATACTTCTTTTCTATTATCTTTCACTTTGGGGGCTGACCCCTTTCATTTAGATATATCTTCTCCAAAGTGGTAGAGAGCTATGGTGGACACTGCGTCTGTGTCTTTCCAACAGAGAGGTCAAATATCTCAAAAATGCATTAAAACATTTATGGATGTGTTTGTGTTTCTCGTGGTGTGTATGCGTGTGAATTTCAAAGTGGAAATGAGCAGATCACATCCTGCCTAAGGCGCGGCTGCTTATACTTCAGAGTTTGCACAAATTCAGATCACATCAAACTGTGGAGGAAGACTAATTTGTTTTACATTGTCTAATGCGCTCAGCATGCAAACTCCAACTACACTGCATGTGCATGCGCAAGTTAGACAATCTAATAAACCTTCAAATGAAACTGCCTGGACCGCCTACTGTGGCAGAATCATATCAACTTCTAAAGATTCACATATCTTAAAGGCGCTTTGCACACGAGTTAATGGACCAGTTCCTTTTTCATCAGACACCAGTGGAGGAGGAACGATGAGTGCAGAGCAAACAGGTCCGCAAGCAGCATGTCAAGGATGTACGATTAAAAAGAAATCATTGTCAAAATGAATCAAATGGATCCTTAAGATGACACACAATAAAATACATTATAATGCAGGAAAAAGCCCCCTGTGAGATTTGCATCGTTTTAATAGATTCGTATTATTTAAACATGAACATTTAAGCACTATTCTAACGTTGTAGCTACGTTTATTTAACTTTACAGACGGTTCCACCTTTTACAATGAATCATAAAAGCACTGAGTGTCATTTCCCAGCAATCACTGAGTTGGTTATTTGCTGGTAAGATGTTCAACAGATATCGGAAAGGGAAAGTGTTCTATAGAGTATTTTAAATGTAAAGGTATATCAATGTAAAATGTGGCACTTCAGA